AGCGAGAAAATTAATTTCATTGTTAGCGAATTCAGTTTTCATCCCTGTTCAGGGTGTCTTAAAAAGTATTCTACAATTAATAAATCAATTATGAGACAATTAAGTGTGTGTGAGTATATGAGCGTGAGTGTAAACTCTTCCTCCTGGTTCACAGGCAGGCGGGCGCTGTGGGCTCCAGGCTAACCGGAGCTGGATGGGGAGGCTGCACCGTGTCCATGGTTCCTGGAGAAAGGATAGATTCGTTTCTCCAGACCGTGCGGGAACGTTATTACATGCCTGACGCCCGTCGAGCCGCTCTGGAAAAGCAGAGTTTATTTGTGACGAGGCCGGGTGGAGGGGCCGCAATTTACATCGAGGAATGAAAAACTCTCAACACAATCAACCCCTCGGTCTGTGAAGCACAAGGAGATTCATATAAAGGCTGATCTGATGAGCAGACTGTATGAAGTCTGAATGGGCATTTTCACTCAATAAAATGAAGAAATCTCTAATCATTTAATACTTTCAGGTTTTCAAGGCTGAAGTAAAAAGAGCTGAGAACCCCTCAATATGCTCCTGCTTTTACTGCGCTTTTCTAAAAGCATTCAAGATAGACATTCATTCAGTAAAACATCTTACTGTTTACAAGCCTCATCGTTTCAAACTCCAGAGCTATTTGGGGATTTCCGCCTGGATTTTGCCTACATAAAATTTAAAAGCTTCCCAAATCCACATGCAGAGGTGTAAATGCAAAAATTTGGTATCATTTTAAAGAAAACCCCTTGAATTTTCATAAAACACTATTAAAAGTGTTTCAAATAACTGTGGATGTTGTCTGTGTTATAAAAAACACCTAAAAAAAGAGACGCTTTTTGTATTTTTTTTTTTATAAATATTTATAAAAAAGAATATTTGTGTGTATGTGAGTGTGTGGGTGTTTCTGCGTAAAACATATGCCGGGTAAGTTGGCGGTTCATTCCGCTGTGGCGACCCCTAATTAATAAAGCAACTAAGTTGAAAAGAAAATGAATGAAAACTGTGCCTAAAAATTCTCAATTTCTGGACTCTTCTGTAGGTACACTTCTGTCGTGCACTAAGACTGACGGAAAATGGAAAGTTGCTATTTTCTAGGTTGACATAGCTAAGAACTATTTTCTCATTCAGGTGTAATAATCAAGGAGATTCGCTGCCGTACTATGGTTGTAGCAGTGCAATAATATTACACAGCATCTGAAAATAGTGCCAAGCATATATGCCTATGCTTGCTTGCACCACCTGTTAGAATCTGCGTATCATTGCACCTGCTGCAGTCATGGTACGGCAGCAAAGTTCCTCCATTATTATTACGCCAGAAAGAGAGTATAGTTCCATATCAGCTTATAAAATAACATCTTTCACTTTCCATCAGTCTTAGTTCACGATGTCACTGCAGAAGATTCGAGCTTTAAATAGGAAAATTATCAAAACACTTTTGTGTCATTTTTAGGATGCTAACGGTCTAATCCGATTCAGTGATTTATGCTAAGCTAAGCTAAAAGTACTCCAGAGATCGACTGAATAGACTAAACTGTGGATGTTGTCTATGTTATATAAAACACCTAAAAAAGAGGCGCTTTTTGTATTTTTTTAAAATAAATATTCATAAAAAAAATATTTGTGTGTATGTGAGTGTGTGGGTGTAACTGCGTAAAACATGCCGGGTAAGTTGGCGGTTCATTCAGCTGTGGTGACCTCTAATTAATAAAGGGACCAAGTTGAAAAGAAGATGAACATCATAGCAACAGCGCTCGCAGCAAACCACTGATCACATTTAAAAAAAATCAACAATTAAATATGTAAATGCAAACAGTCCGTTTGCAAATAAATGAAACATTGGCCATTTATTGCATTTCATATCAAAATAATGTACAACGACTCGTATAAAAACCCATGCATTTAAATAAAAACAACACATTCTGCGTGGTCTTTGCTGGCAAAACAGCACAGCAGAAAGATCTCATACATTCGTCATGTATATTCACCATGGCAATAAATGAACATGTCGACTGTACACTCGTAAAGAGGAAATGTTGCACGGCCCCCTTTTAGAAAATGTGATCTACTTTAACATGAGCGGCTAATGTGCCTGAACAAAGCGTGGGACATTCAGAGAGAGAGAGAAAAACAGACTTCCTTTAGTGAAAGACAAACAAAAAGGCACAAAAATCCCTTCCGTAAAGGATCCCTTGAAAGAAATGCCCACTTTGTAGACCTTTACATAAGATAAATATGGAATTGTAGAAGTTTAAACGAGTAAATGCTTCAGTCTATCGCTTGATGGAAGGCACGGCGTAGTGTTCAGTATTCCCAGTTCGCTGAGCTGCATGCAAAAGCACTACCGCATAGAGGAATGTTTTATTTTGAAATCTTTTAGATGCAATTTAAATTGGTCAAATAAGCTTGCTTGCACATTCATTGCATGTTCGTTACGGCATCAAAATGGCACATTACTAATGTTTACTACTCATCCAGTAGCGCTGAGCATTTGGGGGCATTTAGTGAACTGTGATGCAACTACCAAGTCTTTAAACGTATCCATATTACATATGCAATGCAGTAATAATAACCCTAAACCGCTTCAGATGGCTTTATAATAAAATACGAGGTATTATTTCACACGCCAGCACATATTTTCTCCACTAGACGGCTGTCATTCGTCTCAGGTTTAAATAAACACTCCACTTCTATTAAAATAGACTACTTTTACAGCTCTCTACAGTTAAACAGTTGAGTTTTTTTTAATCCGCTCAGACGATCTCCAGGTCTGGCGGGAGCACTTTTAGCTTAGCATAAATCATTGAATTGAATTAGACCATTAGCATCTCATTCAAAAATGTAAACAAAAATGGATAATTTTCCTATTTATCTTCTGTAGATACACTTCTGTCGTGTACTAAGACTGATGGAAAATAGAAAGTTGTTATTTTCTAGGTTGACATAGCTAAGAACTATTTTCTCATTCAGGTGTAATAATCAAGGAGATTCGCTGCCATACTATGGTTGTAGCAGTGCAATAATATTACACAGCATCTGAAAATAGTGCCAAGCATATATGCCTATGCTTGCTTGCACCACCTGTTAGAATCTGCGTATCATTGCACCTGCTGCAGTCATGGTACGGCAGCAAAGTTCCTCCATTATTATTACGCCAGAAAGAGAGTATAGTTCCACATCAGCTTAGAAAACAACATCTTTTCACTTTCCATCAGTCTTAGTTCACGATGTCACTGCAGAAGAGTCGAGCTTTAAATAGGAAAATTATCAAAAAGTTTTTTTGTAATTTTTGGGATGCTAACGGTCTAATCCAATTCAATAATTTATGCTAAGCTAAGCTAAAAGTGCTCCGCAAATCGACTGAATGGACTCAACTCTTTAACTCTGGAGCCGTTAAATTTTACAGCTCTCTTTTACAGCTCTCTACAATTAAACAGTTGAGTTTTACCCTTTTTAATCCATTCAGCTGATCTCCAGGTCTGGCGGGAGCACTTTTAGATTAGCTTAGCATAAATCATTGAATTAGGTTAGACCATTAGCATCTCATTCAAAAAATGTAAACAAAAAAATTGTAATTTTTCTATTTACAGGTTTGACTCTTCTGTAGTTACACTTCTGTTGTGTACTAAGACTGACGGAAAATGGAAAGTTGCTATTTTCTAGATTGATATAGCTAGAGACTATACACTCATTCAGGTGTAATAATCAAGGAGATTCGCTGCCGTACTATGGATGTAGCAGTGCAATAATTTTACACAGCATCTGAAAATAGTGCCAAGCATATATGCCTATGCTTGCTTGCACCACTAGTTAGAATCTGCGTATCATTGCGTCTGCTGCAGTCATGGTACAGCAGGAAAGTTCCTCCATTATTATTACGCCAGAATGAGAGTATAGTTCCATATCAGCTTAGAAAACAACATCTTTATACTTTCCATCAGTCTTAGTTCACGATGTCACTGCAGAAGAGTCGAGCTTTAAATAGGAAAATTATCAAAACGTTTTTTTGTAATTTTTGAGATGCTAACGGTCTAATCCAATTCAATGATTTATGCTAAGCTAAGCTAAAAGTGCTCCGGAAATCGACTGAATGGACTCAACTCTTTAACTCTGGAGCCGTTAAATTTTACAGCTCTCTTTTACAGCTCTCTACAATTAAACAGTTGAGTTTTACCCTTTTTAATCCATTCAGCTGATCTCCAGGTCTGGCGGGAGCACTTTTAGATTAGCTTAGCATAAATCATTGAATTGGGTTAGACCATTAGCATCTCATTCAAAAAATGTAAACAAAAAAATTGTAATTTTTCTATTTACAGGTTTGACTCTTCTGTAGGTACACTTCTGTCGTGCACTAAGACTGACGGAAAATGGAAAGTTGCTATTTTCTAGATTGATATAGCTAGAGACTATACTTTCATTCAGGTGTAATAATCAAGGAGATTTGCTGCCGTACTATGGCTGTAGCAGTGCAATGATATTACGCAGCATCTAAAAATTTTCTCCAGAATCAACGTCTATGCTTGCACAAACAGTTAGAATCTGCATATCATTGCGCCTGCTGCAGTCGTGGTGTACAGCAGGAAAGGTCCTTCATTATTATTACGTCAGAATTAGAGTATAGTTCCATATCCGCTTAGAAAACAACATCTTTTCACTTTCCATCAGTCTTAGTTCACGATGTCACTGCAGAAGAGTCGAGCTTTAAATAGGAAAATTATTGAAACACTTTTGTGTCATTTTTAGGATGCTAACGGTCTAATCCGATTCAGTGATTGATGCTAAGCTAAGCTAAAAGTACTCCAGAGATCAACTAAATAGACTCAACTCTTTAGCCCTGGAGCAGTTGTAAAGTTTACAGCTCTCTTTTACAGCTTTCTACAGTTGAACAGTTGAGTTTTTCCATTTTTAATCCATTCAGGGAATTTCCAGGTCTGGTGGGAGCACTTTTAGCTTAGCTTAGCATAAATCATTGAATTGGATTAGACAATTAGCATCTCACACAAAAAAAAAAAAAAAAAAAAAGATAATTTTCCTATTTAAAAGCTGGACTCTTCTGTAGATACACTTCTGTCGTGTACTAAGACTGACGGAAAATGAAAAGTAGCTATTTTCTAGATTGATATGGCTAGGAACTATACACTCATTCAGGTGTAATAATCAAGGAGATTTGCTGCTGTATCATGGCTGAAGCCGGAGCAATAATATTACATAGGATCTGAATATTGAGCGCAGCATATATGCATATGCTTGCTTACACCACTAGTTAATATCTGCGCATCATTGCGCCTGCTGCAGTCATAGTGTACGGCAGGAAAGTTTCTTCATTATTATTACACCAGAATGAGAGTATAGTTCCATATCAGCTTAAAAAATATCATCTTTTCACTTTCCATCAGTCTTAGTTCACGATGTCACTGCAAAAGAGTCGAGCTTTAAATAGGAAAATTATCAGAGCACTTTTTTGTAATTTTATTTTTGAGATGCTAACGGTCTAATCCGATTCAATGATTTGTGCTAAGCTTAGCTAAAAGTGCTCTGAAGATCGACTGAATGAACTCAACTCTTTAACTGGAGATGTAAAATAAGCCTTTTATCAAAAAAGGTGTAGTGTTCCTTTAAACATGAGTGTCTAAAACATTTCCTAAAGCGTTAAAAAGAAGTTCTTAAAACCCAGAATACAAAAACTGTGCCTTTTTGAGAAAACATCACACTTTTTGAATCGTGTGCCAGAAGAGGTGAGAATACAAAAATGAATCTCGGGTTCAATTTAAACAGACGCCGTTTGAGACGGAACCGAAAAATGAGGTGAAAGGAATGATCTGTGCTTCATTGTGCTGGCTCTTTGGAGTCTCCTGTGCATGTGTAGCCCTCCTGTAGTCTGTACACAATTATCAAAAAACACAGACGCTAAATCTTCAGATGCTAAGTAAAGGGCTTTTATCTGGCCTCCAAGTCTTCTACCGTCACCTCTTGTTTGTGCTCGCTCGGCCTGCTGTTGGCTGAGGTGGTGCCCTTCTCTCCAGGGGCTCGGGAGGGTGAGGACAGCGGGTATGTGGAAGTGGAGGATGTGGGAACCTTCATGTTCTTGCCGGAGGTGATGAGTTCTCCGTATCCCTGCTGGTGGGAGAAAGCGTAGGCCGAGCGTCTAGAGCTGGTCCTGCGGACTCTCCTGAGGTTCTGCTCTTGAGGACGCTGCCGCCTAGTGGCCTGCTGGAGTAAACGCACCTGAGGGAGGGCAGACGGTTCAGGAGATTATGATGACGCACATGACCATTTGACTATTCAGTTCAATTCATCTTTATTTATTTAGCGCTTTTACAATGTAGATTGTGTCAAAGCAGCTTAACACAGGAGTTCTAGTAAATTGAAACTGTGTCAGTCCAGTTTTCAGAGTTGAAGTTCAGTTTAGTTCAGTTCAGTGTGGTTTAATTTTCACTGCTGAGAATCCGAACAGCAAATCCATCGAAGTCCCTAATATCATAAATGCTCATTCCCTTTGTTTATGTTCACCCCCATAATGTGATTATAATACAATTTTGGCAGTGCTGCAATTAAACTACTTAATTTAAGCACGCAACGATTTACAGTTTTCTCAGTCGCTTTGGTGCATTTCTCACAACACTATTTACATTTGCACAACAGTTAATGCATTTCTCAAAACAGTTAGTCGTTTGTGCACATCCTAGTAGCAGTTTCTCATTCCTTTCAACAAATTGCAAATGCTTTCGCACATGCATCAATTGCTTTCATTCAACTCTCTGCTATTTATAACATTATCATCTGCTTATGTCATGTCAGTCAAAATGAACTAAACTTGTAAATGCTGAATAGTCATTTCATATAAAACTAACAGTCCTCATTTCATTACTTGAGTCATTACATACAAAAAAAGGATGAACTTGATTCCAAAATCGGTCAAGCAATCTTTATTAAAAAATTTTTTTAAAAACTTTATTTTTCTGAAAATGTCTTTAAAATCGAACAATTTTAAGAATGATTTACTGACCTGTGTATGTTGCAGGCTCAGTTCCAATGTGTACTGCAATATTGTTTACAGTTGTGCTCAGCTTTACCCAAAGGGAGTTTATGCTTGTTGTAAATAAGGGTGTGTTTATTCTTCTGCACAATGCTGTGAGTAAATTAGGATTGTAAAGAGCAAATGCAGTAAAAATGTGCAACATACATATTCAGTGTCTTGTACTCAGATAGCTCACTAAATGCAGTGATGTCTAACTATTCTGTAGTTTTCAAATGGCTGTGCAAATAGTATAAAGTGCATTTTCAGCAAGTGTCACCAACATCTGACTTTTTTTGCATTGAAAAAATGTACAGAGTAAACTCATAATGAAAACACGACTAAGCCATTTGACTATCTTGTTTATAAACAAGGTGTCACACTGCAAAAAATGCTTTTCTTATTTAGATGTTTTGTCTTGTTTCAAGTCCAAATATCTAAATATTTTTAAATAAAGGAGAATTTTCTAGCCAAGCAAAACATATTCTCTTGTTTTGAGAAATAATATGCCAATATTAAGTGAGTTTTTTCTTAAAACAAGCAAAATAATCTGCCAATGGGATAAGCAAAATAATCTTGTTTTTCCTTTTGACATAAGATTATTTTGCTTACCCCATTGGCAGATTATTTTGCTTGTATTAAGGAAAAACTCACTTAATTATGGCATATTATATCTCAAAACAAGACAATATGTTTTGCGTGTGTAGAAAATTCTTCTTGTTTTGAGATTTTTTAGACATTTGGACTCGAAACAAGACAAAAAATCTAAGTAAGAAAAGCATTTTTTGCAGTGCAGGACTTTTCATTTTAGTGATACTGACACTTTGATTGACATGAATACTTGCTTTTGAGGAATGAACTATTCATTTTGAGCATGTGACGCGCTTTTGCAGGTTATTGGCTTTGCAGTTTGCATGAATTGTTTTGAGAAATGCGTTAACTGTTTTGCAGAAATGCACTGGTGTTGTGAGAAATGCACCAAAGCGACTGAGAAAAACTGTAAATGCAATTGAGCTCATAACTAGTAACAGTAATTACTTTAAACAAAAAGCCATACACTGATCTTACAGTTTTTCTCAGTCGCTTTGGTTCACAGGCCCTAATCTGAAATTGAGATGAAAGTGGAAGCGCAGTGAAGATAAAAAAAAAAAAAAATGCCATTCAGGAAAAAATGGTTTCCTTCTGGCTTATGTCAAAAAGTTGTGCTTGTTTTTTCTTCTAATTTGTTACTCTATGCCAGGGGTCACCAAACTTGTTCCTTGAGGGCCGGTGTCCTGTAGATTTTAGCTTCAACCCTAATCAAACACAAGCTGATCAAGGTCTTACTAAGTATACTTGAAACATGTGTTACGGCAAGTTGGAGCTAAACCCTGCACGAACACCGGCCCCCCCAGGACCGAGATTGGTGACCCCTGCTCTATACATTTGCCCTACAGCACCTGCCGGAAAGGCTTCACACTTCTGTCCAGCAGATGGCGCTAAACACACACACACAAATCCACCTCACGAAAAGAAAACAGAAATTGCAGGAAACTATTTATAAAGGTTTAAATATGGACATTTTCTTACAAAAGCTCATCAGTTTGCTACTTTTTTCCTTTTGTGTGTGAGGCACTTTTTATTATTGATGGATGCACTTTAATGGACTTGTTTTGGTTTGCTGAAAAAAACTCATGACATTGAGCTGAACGAGACGATATATATATTATACAGCTGCAGTCAGAATTATTAGCCCCCCTTTGATTTTTATTTTCTTTTTTAAATATTTCCCAAATGATGTTTAACAGAGCAATGACATTTTTACAGTATGTCTGATAATATTTTTTCTTCTGGAGAAAGTCTTATTTGTTTTATTGCGGCTAGAATATAAGTAGTTATTGATTTTTTAAAAAACATTTTTGGGACAAAATTATTAGCCGCTTTAAGCTATTTTTTTTCCGATAGTCTACAGAACTAACCATCATCATACAATAACTTGCCTAATTACCCTAACCTGCCTAGTTAACCTAATTAACCTTGTTAAGCCTTTAAATGTCACTTTAAGCTGTATAGAAGTGTCTTGAAAAATATCAAGTAAAATATTATTTACTGTCATCATGACAAAGACAAAATAAATCTGTTATTAGAAATAAGTTTTTAAAATTATTATGCTTAGAAATGTGCTGAAACAATCTTCCCTCCATTAAACAGAAATTGGGGAAAAAAATAAACAGGGGCGCTTATAATACAGGGCGGCTAATAATTCTGACTTCAACTGTATATATATTATACAGCTACAGTCAGAATTATTAGCCCCCCTTTGAATCTTCTTTGCTTTTTTAAATATTTCCCAAATGATGTTTAACAGAGCAAGGAAATTTTCACAGTATGTCTGATATAATTTTTTTCTTCTGGAGAAAGTCATATTTGTTTTATTTAGGTTAGAATAAGAGCAGTTTTTAATTTTTTATGAACCATTTTTAGGTCAAACTTATTAGCTCCTTTAAGCTATTTGTTTTTTCAATAGTCTACAGAACAAAACATCATTATACAATAACTTACCTAATTACCCTAACCTGCCTAATTAACCTAGTTAAGCATTAAAAAGTTTATTTGATTATTATTTTTTGAAAACTTAGATTGATTTGACTGATATAATTTTTAAAAAGTATGCCTAGGATGACTTGAGTGTGTAAATCATGGGCTAATTGACATTTTTGGGTAAACTAGCACCTTAAAGATTAAAGATTTCAGCCTAGGATCAGAGAAATATTGTCAGATTCACAGATTCACATGTAATACTGTTGAGTGTGCAACAGCTGAAGTCATCTGTAAATGTAGTGACCTTGTCAGTGTGTGTGGGATAGAGGTCAGTCTTGATGAAGCGGACCGCCAGCATGGGCATTATACACACGACTGTGTTGAGGAGGATGACCAGCCACACGATCTTCTGATTCAGAGAATTACGTGCGGAGCCTACAATCAAAAACAAACAGAGAATCATTAATATCGCCTGGAAATTACTGCTAGGATGTAGTATTTTTAAATGTGCCAGCGCTTTCTTTGAATAGGTTTTTGGGTAAATGCATGAAATACCTGATGAAAGTCATGCCGCAAATCCAGGTTTTAGGAACAACAGACAATAATTTGATTTCTAGTTGATCATTTGGTATCAGAAGTGGCTTATATGAAATGTAAAGGCCTCTAGATTACGCTTATTTTACCAAAATAACATCTGATCATGCCTTGATTTTTAATTAGGACAGTAAGGTCTGACTTTGCTGAGACAAAAGTTTTGTCACTTAACAGAAATAATGTCCAGTATAGAATATAAAGTCATGCTGCAGTGGAAACAGAATGAATATTGTGTCTGAATCCATCATGAGCTTGGAGGACTGCATCCATACATCTCTGCAATGACTTAAATCAATGATTAATAAAGTCATCTGGAATGGCAAAGAAAGCGTTCCTGCAGGACTCCCAGAGTTCATCAAGAGCCTTTGGATTCATCTTCAATGCCTCCTCCTCCATCTTACCCCAGACATGCTCAATAATGTTCATCTCTGGTGACTGGGCTGGCCAATACTGGAGCACCTTGACCTTCTTTGCTTTCAGGAACTCTGATGTGGAGGCTGAAGTGTGAGAAGGAGCGCTATCCTGCTGAAGAATGTGCCCTTTCCTCCTGTGTTAGTAATCTAATGGGCAGCACAAATGTCTTGATACCTCAGGCTGTTGATGTTGCCATCCACTCTGCATTTCTCGCACGCCCCCCATACTGAATGTAACCAAAACCATGATTTTTTCTTCACCAAACTTGACTGATTTCTAGGAGAATCTTGGGTCCATGCTGGCTCCAGTAGGTCTTCTGCAGTATTTGTGATGATTGGGATGCAGTTCAACAGAGGATTCTTCAGAAAAATCAACCTTCTGCCTCTTTTCCAAATGATCAACTAGAAGTCAAGTTATTATTTGTTGCTCTAACAAACTGGGATCGACGACAAGACTTTTGTCAGGTAGTGTAAGGTTTAGTCTATAACTTCTGGCAATCTATTTTCCGTGCACTCATGATGTATTGGAGTACATTTCGTTAAACTCCTGATTTGTAAGTTGCTTTGGAAAGAAGCGTCTGCTTAATGTTAATGTAAGCATGTTTTAATTCTTACCTATGAATGGAAACTGATTGGGGAATATGGTAAAAATCCCGTTGCTGTTCATTGCAAAAAGTATTGCAAAGTAAACTGCTAGACTGCCCCATATGAAGAAGTGGTTCACCGCCGTCCAGTAGTTTGTATCAAGCCCAATCTGAAACGAAATGTTTACATAAACATAAGCCTCATGATTATTTGCATTCTTTTTAGCACTATAATGTAACTGTGTGGTTTATATACCATAAAAATATCCAAGCTCCAATATACTAATCAAGTGTCATTTTTAGTATTTATAATTATTATAATCATTCAGTCCACTTGGCTTTACCAACTTGTTAGCGAAACCTTTCTAATCATTTAACATCAACAATTAACAATCACTTCTTTTATATCTTGTATTAAGTCCATTTAAAAAAAAATAATTTTATATTTACATTACTCATATTTATTTATATACACATTTATTGATTCATTCATTTTCTTTTCGGCTTAGTCCCTTTATTAATCAGGGGTAGCCACAGCGGAGTGAACCACCAACTTATTGTTTATTACGATAAACACTGAATTACACAAGCATTTAATATGGAATTGAGGTCATGAAAACAACAATGGAAAAATGAAGAGTCCACTTACAAAATTCTCAGTTTCTCTTGATTTACAAGTTTGATTTTTGTGTAATCATTAATAAAAATCTATATTTTTATTGCTATGAAATTTCTTCCCAATTCAAATACAAGTTCAATCAATATTTGGTGGAATAAACCAGATTTCAGTCACAAGCAAAGACAATATATCATTTTGGGGAGAAAAGGCTATAAATTATAATCTTTTTATTTGAAATTTGAAAGAACTGCAGTCAAAATTAATAGTAATTCAATCAATTCATTCATTTATTCATTTTCTTGTCGGCTTAGTTGCTTTATAATCTGGGGTCGCCACAGCGGAGTGAACCGCTAACTTATCCAGCATGTTTTTACGCAGCGAATGCCCTTCCAGCCGCAACCCATCTCTGGGAAATAATTAAATCAATATTTAATCAAAAAATACAAATAAAAAATACAATACTGCTGTGTGCTACATGTTGTCATTTTAGGGCAGTTATTTAAGGGTTAGTTCCCTCAAAAATGAAAATTCTGTCTTCAATTGCTCACCCTTATGTCATTACACAAAAGAGAATATTTTCGATGAAATCTGAGAGCTCTCTCATCCTCCATAGACAGCAATGGCCATGAGATATTTAAAGTCCAGAAAAGAATCCAAAAACATGTTTAAAATATTTTAATGATTCGTCAATATTTCAATGATTCGTCAGTATTTCAACGATTCGTCAATAGTTCAGTGATACGTGAATATTTCAATGATTCGTCAATATTTCAATGATTCGTCAATAGTTCAATGATTCGTCAGTATTTCAACGATTCGTCAATAGTTCAGTGTTACGTCAATATTTCAATGATTCGTCAATATTTCAACGATTCGTTAATAGTTCAGTGATACGTCAATATTTCAATGATTCGTCAATATTTCAATTAATCATCAATATTTCAATTAATCGTAAATATTTCAATAATTCGTCAATATTTTAATGATTCGTCAATATTTTAATGGTTCGTCAATATTTCAATGATTCGTCAATATTTCAATGGTTCGTCAATATTTCAATGGTTTGTCAATATTTCAATGAATCGTCAATATTTCAATGAATCGGCAATATTTCAATAATTCGTCAATATTTCAATGATTCGTCAATATTTTAATGATTCGTCAATATTTTAATGTTTCGTCAATATTTCAATGGTTCATCAATATTTCAAAAATTCGTCAATAGTTGAATGATTCGTCAATATTTCAATGATTCGTCAACATTTCAATGATTCGTCAATAGTTCAATGATTCGTCAATATTTTAATGGTTCGTCAATATTTCAAAGATTCGTCAATAGTTTAATGATTCGTCAATATTTCAATGATTCGCCAATAGTTCAATGATTCGTCAATAGTTTAATGATTCGTCAATATTTTAATGGTTCGTCAATAGTTCAATGATTCGTCAATAGTTTAATGATTCGGCAATATTTTAATGGTTCGTCAATAGTTCAATGATTCGTCAATAGTTTAATGATTCGGCAATATTTCAGTGATTCATCAATATTTCAATGATTCATCAATAGTTTAATGATTCGGCAATATTTCAGTGATTCATCAATATTTCAATGATTCATCAATAGTTTAATGATTCGGCAATATTTTAAGGATTCGTCAATAGTTCACTGATTCGTCAATAGTTTAATTATTCGGCAATATTTCAGTGATTCATCAATATTTCAATGATTCATCAATAGTTTAATGATTCGGCAATATTTCAGTGATTCATCAATATTTCAATGATTCATCAATAGTTTAATGATTCGGCAATATTTTAAGGATTCGTCAATAGTTCACTGATTCGTCAATAGTTTAATTATTCGGCAATATTTCAGTGATTCATCAATATTTCAATGATTCATCAATAGTTTAATGATTCGTCAATATTTCAGTGATTCATCAATATTTCAATGATTCAGTAATAGTTTAATGATTCGGCAATATTTTAATGATTCGTCAATAGTTTAATAGTTCAATGGTTCTTAAATATTTCAATGGTTTGACAGTAATTATACAAAGCTCCAAAAACACTTTTGTGCAGCAAAAAACCTGTAAAAAATGACTTTGTCAATGTGTTTACTATAGTAAATACGATGCTTGCTTGTTTTGATTTAATGGCAAATATGTCCTTTTGCCCATAAGAAATATACACCTTGACCTGTGTAGAAGACAAAGTCAAACAAAGTCATTTTTACAGACACATGAATTATTTTGACAATGTTTTGGGTTTCTTTTCTGGTCTTTGAACCACTCTGTACCGTTGCTGTCTATTTGTTATTTGGGTTATTTGTGTTCGGAAGATGAAAGAAGAACAAGATGAGGGCAAGTAATTCATCATTCTTGGGTGGAGGAACCCTTTAAATGGACTCACCTGAACACTGACCACGATGACCAGAGAGGTGGCGATGGTGACCGCGAAAGCCTGCTGGTCGGAAATTTGAGCGCCGTCGTCCCGCACGGCTGGCATGAAGGCTCCATACGGGATGAAGAAGAGGATGAAGGAGGTGTAGACCCCCTGCAGTGTACAGGTGAAAAACTTCCTCTTGTTGAAGAGCTGGTTCAGTTGACCCGGTCTGTACAGGTTTGGGTAGCGTAAACTGTACTGCTCGTTCACATCCTGAAAATCCACAAATCTTAGGTTAAAAGGTTGCGGTTGTGTTTTGGTGGCACTACATTAAAATATTTTAGTCCCTTTCTCACCTGGTCAAACAGACCCATGGCCAGAACAGGAAGTGAGGTGTAGACGATGTTGAAGAGTGTGATGAACCACTGGTCATATACAGTCTATATCAATGACAAAAACATTATTCAGGATTTTCAATGGAAATCACATACTGAAGATCAAAATTAAAAAAACTAGCTACATCTTCCTAAATTTCGAGGTCACTACTTAGCCCTATTAGAGTTATCATAACGGATTTTAAGTATATTTCAAGAATGACATATTTTGATGCTTAATAAAAAAACAAAAAACACTAGCTATGTTTCCATCTACAAATGGGAATTCATTTTATGTGTAAAACTGGAATATCACATAAAACATTTGCGAATAAAGCAGCGTTTCCTTCCGACTTGGCCAAGAGCACAAAATGGTCACTTCCAGATAAACTGGCTCAAAATATCAACAGTAAAACAGAATTTGCTGTGGTAGGAGAAGCTGCGTGAATCTTTTCTTTATTTAATAAATGACTTGCGCCTCAATAGATAATGCTGACATGCAATGAACGCGTGGTGGCGTCTAAAGGCGTGAGACGCGGAGCACAGACGCTCTTGACATTTCTGAAGGTATTTAATAATATAATAACACTAATTCTGAGATGGTTAAGGCGTTTTAGAATCACCAAAACAACATTTCGGATGTTTTACAGTGTGCTCAGCCTGCTGGTTTGTCCATTCACAGATGTTTTTATCATCACATGATGTCTTATAACTAAATCACATGACCTTTTTTGATGTGCATACTGGAATCTGTTCGGTAAAAGTGTTTCCATCGTAGTTCATGCAAATCTTTCATCGAATAAAATGTTTATCCTACTCAGTTTTTCCAGTTTTCCATCAACCGTTTTTTATGTGCATTTCCAAAATGCCTTCAGCTTAGTCCCTAATTTATTATGGGTTGCCACAGTGGAATGAACCGCTAACTACAATTCATTTGAATACACACTCATTCATTCATTCATTCATTCATTCATTCATTCATTTTCTAGTCGGCTTAGGGCATTCTCACACTATGCTATTCGAACCGTGCCCAGGCCCGTTTCCCGGATCATTTGAGAAGAGTGAGTGCGCTGAATCGGGAACTGAGCGCAGTTCACTTGGGCTTTGGCGTGGTACGCTTGTGAGTGGGTGCAAAACGCGCCAAAGCCTGAAACTGAAATCAAGATGTGACTTTTAAGGGACTGTTTCATATGGATTTACTAATCATTCTTACTGTTCAGTGAACACAAACTGCCGTAGTTTATTTAAGATGCAAACCCCTCACTGCACCACAGCTGCGCACCTTCAGCAACCTCCTAAATCCTGCAGCACGAGGAGTTTGCTTATGTGCGTCAAAAGTATCTGATCTGTTCAGCGTAATATCTGACTGCGTGTCACCTCATCCCAAACCACTAAAGCAATATTAACTGAAGAAATCTCCACGGTGCTGAGCGAGAGGGTTTCTGACCAGCGCATCATCGATGACGTAAGCGTGCCCAGGCCCGATTGTAATGTGAGTGCTTGCCGTTGGGGGAGACGGGAAGGGGGACAAGCGTGCTTTGGCCCGATTCGAGGCAACTGTACATAGTGTGAGTACGGCCTGAGTCCCTTAATTAATCTGGGGTCGCCACAGCGGAATGAACCGCCAACTTATCCAGCACATTTTTAAACAGCGGATGCCCTACTAGCCGCAACCAATCTCTGGGAAATTTCAAACAAACTGCAAATGTTAAATTAAAAGTATAACTTAACAAATGTACTTAACTTATCTCATTAAAATGTCTACAAACTCATCAGGTAAAAAACTATGAAACCTGTTCAGTGAATCGCCACTTATTCATGATGAATAACACAACTTGCCGCTAGTGGAGATTCACTGAATTTTCATAGCAGTATTGACGTAGGGAAGCCCCGTTTGTGGAAATCACATGATCAAATTTTGTCTCAGTGTTTGGCGGCTGTAACCTTCAGAAATGTTATGCTGAGTTCACACTAAATGCGGAGCACCATGTCACTTGCTTTAGTTTACTCACAGGATGTTTTTCACCTCAAGAGGCCACTGAGGTAAATTCCACGCGATTGTGGCAAATGCGATCACTGTGTTTTCCACTAAAGATAAAGTTGTGTTTGTTTTTTGTTTGTTTATGTTAGCATACAGCTAACATTCCATCAAATTTTGAACAATGAGGATTACATTATTTCAGGAAAAAATTAAGCATCCATAAATATATCTGCGTCATTCACAGTGAGAAGTTTTTACCTGGGCGGAGAATCCACAGAGGAACCCGTACCAGAAATGCACCAGTGTGAAGGCGAAGTTCTTGTAAAAGAAGTAGCAGAGGAAGTTGCACATGCGGTGATATGACCAGCGGCCGTGGACCAGCAGGAGGCGCTGCAGGTAGCGGAACTGGGCGAAGGAATAGTCAGAGGCCAAGACTGCCTGCATGCCCTCCTGTCCGCTGATGCCCACACCAATGTGAGCCGCTAGGGGAGACGGCAGACACAGTATACACATTACAAACATAATACTAACACTGCACAAACGCTAGCACATTTCCAAAACAAATACCATGTTAGATCAGCAGCGCATTTGTCCCAAACTTTCCAGCTGTAAGGCATATATGTCACATAAACCACATCATACTGAGTGTTGACAGACAGATGGATTGATGGATGGATGGATGGATGGATGGATGGATGGATGGATGGATGGATGGATGGATGGATGGATGGACAGACACAGACAGACAGACAGACAGACAGACAGACAGACAGACAGACAGACAGACAGACAGACAGACAGACAGACAGACAGACAGACAGATAGATAGATAGATAGATAGATAGATAGATAGATAGATAGATAGATAGATAGATAGATAGATAGATAGATAGATAGATAGATAGATAGATAGATAGATAGATAGATAGATAGATAGATAGATAGATAGATAGATAGATAGATAGATAGATAGATAGATAGATAGATAGATAGATAGATAGATAGATAGATAGAGATCGTCGGATAGATAGATAGATAGACAGACAGACAGACAGACAGACAGACAGACAGACAGACAGACAGACAGAGATAGATAGATAGATAGATAGATAGATAGATAGATAGATAGATAGATAGATAGATAGATAGATAGATAGATAGATAGATAGATAGATAGATAGATAGATAGATAGATAGATAGATAGATAGATAGATAGATAGAGATCGTCGGATAGATAGACAGACAGACAGACAGACAGACAGACAGACAGACAGAGATAGATAGATAGATAGATAGATAGATAGATAGATAGATAGATAGATAGATAGATAGATGGATGGATGGATGGATGGATGGATGGATGGATGGATGGATGGACGGACGGACGGACGGACGGACGGACGGACGGACGGACAGACAGACAGACAGACAGACAGACAGACAGACAGACAGACAGACAGACAGACAGACAGACAGATAGATAGATAGATAGATAGATAGATAGATAGATAGATAGATAGAAATTGTCGGATAGATAGACAGACAGACAGACAGACAGACAGACAGACAGACAGACAGACAGACAGACAGACAGACAGACAGACAGACAGACAGACAGACAGATAGATAGATAGATAGATAGATAGATAGATAGATAGATAGATAGATAGATAGATAGATAGATAGATAGATAGATAGATAGATAGATAGATAGATAGATAGATATAATATGGCGTCTTACTCTTGATCATACTGACGTCATTGGCTCCATCTCCAATGGCCAGCGTGACGGCTCTCTTGTGCCTCTTGATGAGCTCCACCACCAGGGCTTTCTGCAGAGGAGTGACCCGACAGCAGATCACCGACTTACACAGACACGCCACGTCCACCAGGATCTGCTCCAGCTCCGCCTCCAGGGCATGAGCCTTAGTTTCAGATCAACACACAATCCTCCAGGTTAGTGAAGGGTTTAGACTGGCATTCAATTATGTTTTGTTGGGGATGTTTTCATCTAGTCTGCTGTGATTTTGAGACTTTTTCTCCCCAAATTTCTCTATGTTCCAGGAAATACAATGATTTTTGGTGACAACTCTAATTTTGACACATATTTGGGAAAAATGCTTAGAATTTTTTTTTTTAACTCAACAATACACTCTGGGCAAATTGATGACTCTTCCATTATGTTGAGGGCTGTTTTTGACCCCATTGACTTCTATTATAATGACATTTTTTGATTGCAAAGCCATGACATAATCATGCATTCCTGATTGTTGCTGTTTTCCCTGTTGTGAAGAGGTCATTTTTATTTATTTTTTTTACTGTTGATCATCAGTAGCAGTGCAAACAAAGCTTAGTTTCTGGCTTAAAATTATATGGTTATTTGGAGTATTGTGTGTATGTGAGAGAGTGTAAGAAAGGTTTGCTTGATATGATTTGATATGTTTGAGAAAATATAAGCAGCTCTTAGAGCATAGTAAACATAGTACAGTAAGTGTATTTATGCACACACACACACACACACACTTTAATTTGTTGTTTTACTCCACAGAACTTCATATAAAAGTCTAAAACTTTTTTTGCACAGGCCTAAAGGGTTAATGATGCTAATTGATGATCGATAGTAAAATTTTGAAGTTTGACATCTTCCCAACAGAGAAAACCACAAACAATGAAGAATGCATGATTATTTGGTGTCAAGGCTTTGCAATCCAAAAATGTGGTTATAATGGAAGTCAATGGGGCAAAAACAGCCCCCAACATAACGAAAGGGTAGTCCATTTAAACAATACACAAGAGTTAAGACTGTGAATTCACTTAATTTACAATTTAAGTCCTGAGTTGATGTCAGTGGCCTCAAACACACATTTTTCCCAGCAAGACCAAATTCAGCCACTCTTTACCTTAAAAACCACAGATTTCATGAGAACGCAGAAGGAAATGTTCTGTCTGAACTGCAGGATCACCATTAGGATTATTTTAGAAACTAGATTATTAGATTATTAACTATATTAGATTATTAACTAGCTTAGATTTTAGAGATTTATTGCAATTAAGTTGGATGCTCTTCTTACCAAACTGTGTCCATTGATGATTAAAGCGTACTCTGCAATGATGGTCTCCTCAAAGACCGAGTCAACTGAGTACAGTTCTGTCTTTTCCATGTCCAAGCCACTGCTGAATTTGTCTTTGCTGGGTCCCATGATTCTCTCTTTAGCTGTCCTGTGTACAAAGCAAGAGGAAAAAGCCATTTTATATTTACAATAATAGATAATGGTTCAATTCGGTGTGACAAAATAGGCTGCAAGACATTTTTTTTAAAGATTTGTTCAGAAAGGCAGCAAGAAATGTCATTTTGTTGGTCAATCTGCCTCACTGGAGTCTAAGATGTTTTTGAAAATATGTTAAATTAATAAAGTGGGGGAAGCACGGTGGCGCAGTAGGTAGCAGTAGCAGTAGGTTGCTGGTTCGAGCCTAGGCTGCGTCATTTGGCATTTCTGTGTGGAGTTTGCATGTTCTCCCATGTTCGCAAGGGTTTCCTCCGGGTGCTCCGGTTTCCCCCACAAGTCCAAAGACATGTGGTATAGCCGAATTAGGTAAGCTAAATTGTCTGTAGTGTATGTGTGTGAATGAGTGTGTGTGGTTGTTTCCCAGTGATGGGTTGCAGCTGGAAGGGCATCCGCTGCGTAAAACATATGATGGATAAGTTGGCGGTTCATTCCGCTGTGGTGACCCCTGATTAAAAAAGGGACTAAGACGAAAAGAAAATGAATGAATGAATTATGAAAGGGGTCATATGTTGTGATTACACATTTTCTGTGGTCTTAAAGTGTAAATATTAAAGTTTTCAAAGCTTTTTGGGATAGAATATCAGGTAAATTTTGTGTCTCCTAATATATATATATATATATAGATGGATGGATGACCAAAAAGACAAATAGATAAATGACAGATCTGAGCAACAGCAATGTATGATAAGTGGAAAATAATGGGTTTTTTGAACTGTAAACACATTTGCATTACACCAAATACACAAATATCATTCTCTTTAACATCATTTGACCCCATATGAAAAAAACAAACGTATCAAAGAGTGAAATATCACCTGAGCTCCTGTTGAACCTCAAGCATAGTGTGACCTGAGATGATAAAGACCTCGTTCATGTCGTCTCTGAGCATGTTACAGGAGTATCCGATGTTCATCGCCGTCTCTGCAAGCGCAATAAGAACGATTCTTCATTGAAGACAGTGAGAATGTGTCTCAATCAAAGCTGAGTAGTCTAAAATCGCTCCTTAGCACTGGTTTACCTAGTTTGTCCCCGGTGAGCACCCAGATCTTGATGTTGGCCAAGGTCAGGCAGGCGATAGTTTCTGGAACTCCTTCCTGAAGTTTGTCCTCTATGGCTGTAGCTCCAAGCAGCTTCAGGAAAACGAGAGAGATGCAGGTTTTACAGTTTTTCTCAATTGCTTCGGCACACTTGGTCTTAACATTCTCTAAACTGTGAGTGCAAATGTCAAAACTGTTTGCTGGAACTTTATTGCAGGTCTGCAAAATGTAGCTGCTCCTCCACAACATTTCATTCTTGCTTAAAAACCTAGTTATCGTATCAGTAATTTGGCCATGGACACCAAAACATAAAGTCTCGCAGGTGACAATGATAAGTGTTTTTTTTAGGATGACAGTCAACCATCAATTTTAAAGGGCTGTGAAACCCCCCTGTCTCAGCAAGATTTTTGTCACACCTTTGGAATAAGTCAGGAAAGTGGGTGTGTCCTGCTCTGTTCTGGTGGGAGTGTCGGGGAAGGGACAGAGGGAAGGTTTTGCATAAAAATGGGAGTTTCCGTTTGGGCACGCGCTGATTTTCAAAGAGGCAAAACAAACACACAGACGCAGAGGTGAAAGACAGTGACTGTGTTTACATGGACATCAGTAATCGAATTATTTGCCAATTAACTACATCAGTATTCACAGCCTTTGCTCAATACTTTGTTGATGCACCTTTTGCAGCAATCACAGCCTTAAATCTTTTTGAATATTATGCCACAAGCTTAGCACACCTGTCTTTAGGAGTTTTTGCTCATTCCTCTTTGCTGTACCTCTCAAGCTCTATCAGGTTGGATGGGAAGCGCCGGTGTACAGCCGTTTTTAGATCTCTCCAGAGATGTTCAATAGGATTTAGGTCTGGGCTCTGGCTTGGCCACTCAAGGACGTTCACAGAGTTGTTGTGAAGCCACTCCATTGATATTTTGGCGGTGTGCTTTGGGTCATTGTGCTGCTGGAAGATGAACCGTCACCCCAGTCTGAGGTCAAGAGCACTGTGAAGCAGGTTTTCATTCAGGATGTCTCTGTACATTTCTGCATTCATCTTTCCCTCTATCCTGACTGGTCTTCCAGTTCCTGCTGCTGAAAAACATCCCCACAGCATGATGCTGCCACCACCATGCTTCACTGTAGGGATGGTATTAGCCTGGTAATGAGCCCTGCCTGGTTTTCTTCAAACGTAACGCCTGGCATTCACTCCAAAGTGTTTATTTTAGTCTCATCAGAGCAGAGAATTTAGTTTCTTATAGTCTGAGAGTCCTTCAGATGCCTTTTGGCAAATTCCAGGCGGGGAGTGTCTTCCGTCTGGCCACTCTACCATACAGGCCTGATTGGTGGATTGCTGCACAGACGGTTGTCCTTATGTAAGTTTCTCCTCTCTCCAGAGAGGAACACTGAAGCTCAGACAGAATAACCATCAGGTTATTGATCACCTCTCTGACTAAGGCCCTTCTCCCCCGATCACTCTATCGCTCTAGGAAGAGTCCTGGTGATTCCAAACATCTTCCACTTCCACTTTTTAGAGCAGCAGTGGAACTGTAACCTTCCCCAGCCTTGTGCCTCTAGACAATCCTGTCTTGGAGGTCTACAGACAATTCCTTTGTCTTCATGCTTGGTTTGTGCTTTGATATGCACTGTCAACCCTGGGCCTTATATAGACAGGTGTATGCCTTTTCAAATCATGTCCAATCAACTGAATTGACAACAGGTGAACTCCAATGAAGCTGCTGAAACATCTCAAGAATGATCAGTGGAAACAGAGGCTGTTCTCAATTCTAAGAACGCAGAGAACGCACTTGCGTTCTTGTGGAGAGTGGTCTTGCCAGGTGTCCTCGGAAGAACGAACTCGAGAGAACACAAGAACAGAGAATGTGTCCTCTAAGAAATGAGATGCTGCGTTTTTCCTGATGGTCACATGACCCTCACGCATTTTAAATGGAAAATTTTTTCAACATTACAGCATTCATACAGCGTTTTTTTTTTCGCCTTTTCACAATATATACTATGCATAAAACATTATAAATATACGTTGCAAAATATAAATAAAACAGATTTTAATACGAATTTCAGCAAACAAACACTCCTAATGTGTTTATTCCTTTATTAAGATGTCCATGGTGATGTTTACTTTCACCGTTTCATTTAGGGAAACTCCTGAGATAAATAAGTTATATCTCTGAACTTTAATAATAAATCTAAATAAAATGCTGCGCTTCCCATCTCCAGTCGCAATGACTTCTGGGACTTCCAGAGCAAGTTCGGTGCTCAAGTCTGCATTGGTGCGTCCTCGATATCAAGAACACATCCGGGAAGTTTCACGCGTCCTTTGTTCTTGTGGTTTTGGGTATTGGAACTAAACTTTGGCAGCTGATGATGACGTTACACGAGGACGCAAGATCGCTGAAGAACGCATATTGAGAAACAGCCAGTTGGTACCTGAGCTCAATTAGAGCTTCACGGCAAAGGCTGTGAATACTGATGTTCATGTGATTTTTCAGGTTTTTTATTTTTAATAAATTTGCAACAATTTCAACAAATCTTTTTTCACATTGCCATTATGGGGTATTGTGTGAAGAATGTTGAGGAAATAAATGAATTGAACCCATTAGGGAATAAGGCTGTAACATAAAAAATGTGGAAAAAGTTAAGCGCTATCAATACTTTCCAGATGCACTGTAAGAAATATGAAATATACAATACAGTAATTGGATAAGCAAGACTGCACTTTGTGTCATGATTACCAGCGATCGTATTCCACTAGATCGCTGGTTCTCACTCACAACAGACCACGGACTACACTTCCGCCTTTTCCTGGACTACATATTCAGACATGCACTTCATCTACACCCATGCTCACTCATCTAGATTGATTACACTCGCAACACCTGTGGACCATCAGAGACTGATTGCCTTCACTACATAAGCCACTCATTCACCCTTTCAGTTTGCCGAGTCTTTTTCACTGTGTAGATGACATTACAACGCGTTAATCCTGTCTTGTTTTCCTGTGTTTTTCGACTTAGCTTTGTACTCTTGTTCTCCCTGCCTGCCGCCTGCCTTTTTGGCCTCTCGCCTGTGTACTGATTATGATTCTGGACTGCCTGAACATATCTGTTTATACCTGTTGACCTTTGCTTGCCTGACGACGATTAAACCTGCATTTTTGGATCCTACCTTCTGTTGTGAGTGTCATCTCCCCGTCGTTACACGTTGCATGTAATACATTTGTAAACAAATAAATGTTAATTAATTTATTTTTTTCTTGGTAGTATTGACCCTCTCAACAAATATCCTATTTTTTTAAACCTTAATTTGCATGGTTTACTGTCATGGTGAAAAAACATCTAACCATTTTCACTTGCAAGGCTTTATGTTTTGGTGGCCTTGGCCAAATTACTGATACGATAACTAGGTTTTGAAGCATGAATGAAATGTTGTGGGGGAGCAACTACATTTTGCAGACCTGCAATACAGTTCTGAAGTTCCAGTAATCAGTTTTGATATTTGCACCCACAGTTTAGAGATTGTTTGTAAATTGTAAATTGTAAGATCTGCCCAAAACATTTGCTCGAGTGAAGTTCTGCTCTGATTTACCATCATGCCCTGCTCGATTTCTTCATACAGAGCGCCCAGTTTCTCTTCTCTGTTGTCCAGTGCAGTGCTGGCGAACAGCAGCTTCTTCGTCCACTCGTCAAACACGTCTTCATCAAGGTCTTTGTACGCCAGCGCTAATGTTCTCAGACCCTCCCCGGCGAACTCCTGCCACACACATCCATTTAGCAGAGCGATATATTTATCTCTCAGTGTGAAAGCTGAAACTTCAGTCAATTACACTGCAGTAAATATTCCTTCAGCGAAAACAAGCACAACAATCTGACCAATGAAAGCATCTACCTATCCACAAGCTTCTAAAAGCATGCTATTTTTATCCTGTTAGCATCGCATCTCCTATGACATCAGTCTGATCTCTCTTTAAAGAGCCACAGAAAGCTGTAAGTGAGACGTGAATGATGGACAGCAGCTCGTAATACTAGTGAAGGCCATCAACTGCTTTAAGACCAACAATGCCAGCTTTAGACCGGTGTTTCCCAACCCTGTTCCTAAAGGCACACCAACAGTACACATTTTCAACCTCTCCCTAATCAAACCCACCTACATCAACTCATCAGAACATAAGGAGAGACTCCAAAACCTGGGTCGGATAAGGTAGACATCCGAAATATGTACTGCTGGTGTGCCCCCAGGAACACGGTTGGGAAACACCACTCAAGACAATATATAATGGTTTGTATCATGGTTTAAGCAGTTATTTCAGTGATGATATTTTGTTTCTGAGTGAAATCATCTGGTGTTCATAATAAGCAGATATCAGAGCTTATCAGTATCTTGAAGATATTACTGATTCGCTCAGCTTAAAGTCGTTAAATGTGTTTGTATGAAGTATTTTCCGCCTGAGAAGTCTACAGGAATCTTATTGAAATGAATCTGAATAAAACGAGAGCCGTCTCTGCTAAGATCAAGCTTTTAGCCCAGAGCCTCGTCTGAATGTGATTGAGCCACTCTGACACTCTCAGTGTGCGTTTACTGTCATTTGTCAAGTGAAATGGAGTGTATCTACATCTCTGAGTGTCACAATTCCTCACCGCTATAATATTCTAGATGTCGAATGAAGACAAACCCAGAATGAAAATAACTGAAATGCATATCCTCAGGTTTATAAGTCATTGGAAGTGTTACAATTATGAAACGGGCCAATGTGAAGTAGCAGTATCACATACCATAATACTTTTAATACGCTAAATGATTACACGGCACTCTAATGTAGTTGTTACACATTAAAGGTACAGATTGTACCATGATATTAAGTCAGTTACCAGGATTTTACCTTGTTACTGCATGGTATTATCATGACGAAGTTCCAACATCATTGTTTTACCATAATACAGCATCCATATAACATATTACACAAGTACATGGTCAAAAGGCATCATATTACTATGGTAAATGCCTCAAAACATGGTCTACTCTATATATTATATGGTACTGTAATTACCTGTACTATATAGCTACACCTTTTTCATTATCATGTTCTCTCTTAAATGTTGTTCACTTTTAAAATAATTAATACTCAAATATAAATATTGTGTTTTTCAATTGATACGTTTTTATTTTTGCTTTAGTACCAAAGTTAGTACACTGAATCATATTTTTACTGACATTTTTGTACTGTTATGGTGTGTTCACAGCAGACGCGGATAAAGCATCAAGCACAAGTGATTTACATGTTAAGTCAATGCAAAGATATGAATAGACATCCTGCAGTGCGATTCGCGCAAATGAGGCGACGCCAATGACGGGATTCATGCAAATGAAGCGCTGTATCACACAAATCGATCGAGTTGGAAATTCTGAACTTCAGCAAACATTCACGCTGTGTTAACCAATCAGGAGCTTGCTCTTGTAGGGGAGTGATTATGGCGTAGTGCATGTTGTTGGTATCCCGAGGGGAATCAAATCCTCCTGCCGACAACGAACAACCGTTCATCAAACTTGGCTCGGCTTAGTCTGAAAGCCTCCATCATCCTGGTATAGTTTCTGAACTCACAGAGCTAGGTACACCTCTGAAAAGGATCTAATGGATACAGACAAAGCGGCGAACAAATCTACGCTGTTCCAAAAGCACAGCTATTATTTCAGTAAAATCCATGTTAGACATTCGCAATAAGGCTGGAGTCACCGGGCAGACAGAAGCCCCACCCATGACTCTAATCCGCGTCTATTGTGAGGTGAATTTGATGCGTGAAATAAGCAAATTTGATGCCCGAATGAAGAAAGTAAACTCATAATGTTCACGGGTCTATTTACGCGCATATTGTGGGATTTCTTCGGCTGTGCCGCATCTGCTGCCAACCCTAGTTATAACCATAGTAAATACCCCAAACATTGTTTTATTGCTGTGTTTCCCAACCCTGTTTCTGAAGGCACACTAACAGTACACATTTTCAGTCGCTTTCTAATTAAACCAACCCAGGCTCATTCTGATTACGTTCCCCAATATACATTTTTGGAGAGCGCCAAATACGTCCTAGGAGCTACGTTTTTTTGCAGTTTGCAAAAATACCCCCAGAGGCAGCTGTGTACGCTTTTTGAGATTTTCTCTCGCGAGTGCCATTTGCGCCTATTGTTGGTGCGTAAATCCATCAGAGGCCGCTGTAAACTCACTGACTGACTGATCGACTGACCCACCCTCCTCCTACCCTAAACCAGACCGATTGTGTTTTAAAACGCACCAATTGACCCGTCCACCCACTTCCCTAAACCTAACCCGACAGTGTTTACAAAAGCAATCCAAAAAAAGATAAGCCCTCGCCTCATTTTTACTACGTTTTCAGATTTTACCACACTCTCACACTGTTATTTGTTTGTTCATTTAATTTTTTTGGCTTTCTTTTTCTCTTTTTGGTACCGTTCTTCGCCAGACTCGAACCCTGTCATTGCGGTCAACTCCGCTCTGCATCGTAACACCAAAAAAGTCCTCCACGCGGAGGTAATCGGTCAGCTAGTAAGTGCGAAAAGGAATGGCGTCACCCCGTAGCGTTCGTTTTAAGGTTTAAATGCAGCCATACGTTCCTCTGGCTACATAATTCGCGATCTCCAGAAATGTTTATAGGGTTACATGTTCAGAATGAGCCTGAATGTTGAATTAAACACACCTGAATCCACTCATCAGAACATTAGAAGAGACTCCAGAACCTGAAATGATTGGGTCAGATTAGGGAGAGATCCATTATATGTATTGTTGGTGTGCCTCCAGGAACAGGGTTGGGAGGTACTGTCTGATTGTATCACATCCAAAGTAATATGGCGTTATAATTTTATATGCCTCACAACCGGGTTTCCCCATGGTACTGCATTTAGCATCAGAGTGCAACATCAAATGGTGCTGCATCCAAAATATTACCATGGTAATTCTATTTAAAACATGGTATTTCCCAATAAATTGTACCATTCCCAATTACTATTTCTCCATGCCCCCAAAAACAGTAATATCATGGTACTCTTTGGTCCATTTTAGTTAGTAGTTTAGCGCTGGTGACTTACATTAAGGTGCTCTGAGGTAGTAAACATGAGCTCTTCATTAGACGGGTCCAGCCTGTCGAAGAGTATTGTGTCGGCTCCTTTTGAGTAAAGCTTTAACTGCCCCTTTGGGTTCCTCACTGCGGAACAGACAGGAAATGAGAGTGCTGCTTATAAATGTCTAAGTACACAATAAAACAGCTTCAACAGACTGTCCAGCTATTGATTCCCCTACGTGGACGGATGAATTATGCATACAGATCCATGTAAAGAAGTGTGTCCCGGAGGATTTCAGCTTTTGTGAAGTATTAAATGTATGAGGAGACTAGATTGTGAGACTGATTAGATAAAAATGTTATAAGGCATGTGGCAAGCAGTGCTGAGAGATGAGGGCCAATATAATGAGGCTAGTGGTAATGAGTTATACATGCATGCCACATTGGTCTCAACTTTCGTGGAGGAGCTCCAGAAGGAAATGTGAAGCAATGATGACAATAGAGGTAGAGAAGGGATGCTCAATCCTGTTCCAGGTGATATATCTTCCTGCAGAGTTCAGCTCCAACCCTTATCAAAATTTGACAAGGACGATGCAATCTTGGATTGCATCTATGTTGATCCTGGAACATCATTTTTGTTTGAAAATGTAATCCTTACCTAATCCCTACCCCTAAATCCAACTTGCTATAGTTGGATAGCAATCATGTACATTACCTGACAAAAGTCTTGTCGCCTATCCAAGTTTCAGGAACGAAAAATAATAACTTGACTTGTAGTTGATCATTTGGTATCAAAAGTGGCTCATATGAAAGACAAAGGCCTCTAGATTATGCCTATTTGACGAAAATAATATATGATTATGCCTTGATTATTAATGATATAATTTGGACAGTAAGGTCTGACTTCGCTTAGACAAAAGTCTTGTAACTTAAAGGTGCAGTAGATGATTGTCTTCAGAAACATGTGTTGTTGTGCTGGTTGAAAGTCTCTTCACATTCCAATAGTAATAATTAAAGTAAATGATCTAAATGTATTTATATGTATTTTTATGTTCTGGATAAGGCATAAAACTAAAAAATGTTTATCCAATTAAATAGAGTCAGGCCGACATCTCTCATAATTCCGATAAGTAGCTCAAACTGTCTTTCCATTCAGATTTGAACAACTGCACAGCCTTTTGTACGCAGCTCCGCCGACCACTGTTTGTGTATAGACGTGCTTCGCGTTCACGAGAGAGAGAGAGAGAGTAAGAGAGAGAGAGAAAGAGAGCGCGATCGACAAAAACATGCTCACTCAAAACTTTTTAAAAACCTGAATCAATATTGAAGTTACCTTTTCACGCTGGAGAAAGGATGACAATGGCTGAAAGATTTCTCTTTGACGGGTAATGTTCTGTTTTAAAACTACTTTAGCTTCACGCAATGCTGATTAAACGTTAGATGTTGTTGTTACAAATGGGTTTTATCTGCACAGAAGTGTTGTTCAGCCACTAAAATGTTCCGGTGAAAGATTGATAAGACTATTTTCAGTTTCATAAGATCCTTTTACAGCATCAATAATGTAGATTTTAATTAGTTTAACAACAAAACACAAGTAAATACCGCTATTACGCATAGTCTCTCCCTATATTGTTTACCATGCAACTCTAAATATTTGCTCTGAAATAGCATGTCAGTTTGGCTTAGTAATGAGTGTAATTCCTGCATGCCGCCGGACGAGCACTAGTCGCTTTTAACACATGAGAGAGGGATCTTTGGCTGTCATCTTTAAGGTGCGCGTGCTCCTGTTTCAGGAGGCGTGGCTCTGGACGGCAAGGGAGGGACTGTGATTCAGAGATTTATGCTAAGCTGTTAGCATTGTGGAAGATCACCTACTGCATCTTTAACAGAAATAATGTCCAGTATAAAATAAAAGTCATGCTGCAGTGGAAACAGAATGAATATTGTGTATGAATCCCATGAGCTTAGAGGACTGCATCCATACATCTCTGCACTGACTCAAATCACTTAATAAAGTCATCTGGAATGGCAAAGAAAGCGTTCCTGCAGGACTCCCAGAGTTCATTAAGAGCCTTTGAATTCATCTTCAACGCCTCCTCCTTTATCTTACCCCAGACATGCTCAATAGTATTCATCTTTAGTGACCGGGCTGGCCAATCCTGGAGCACCTTGACTTTCTTTGCTTTCAGGAGCTTTGATGTGGAGGCTGAAGTATGAGAAGGAGCACTATCCTGCTGAAGAATTCGCCCTCTCCTGTGGTTTGTAATGTAATGGGCAACACAAATGTCTTGATACCTCAGGCTGTTGATGTTGCCATCCACTCTGCAGATCTCTCGCACTGAATATAACTCCAAACCATGATTTTTCCTTCACCAAACTTAACTGATTTCGATGAGAATCTTGGCTCCATGTGGGTTCCAGTAGGTCTTCTGCAGTATTTGTGATGATTGGGATGCAGTTCAACAGAGGATTCATCTGAAAAATCCACCTGTTTCCAAATGATCAACTAGAAGTCAAGCTATTATTTGTTGCTCTTACAACTGAGATCAAAGACAAGACTTTTGTCAGGTAGTGTAGCAGTGCATAAACCGTATGCCTAAACTTAACATAAATGGTAAACATATCCCTTAAATCTGACTGGCTAATTGGAATGTTGTTCCAGGATCAACATAGACGTCTTACTAGGTGAAATCAGATTGGTATTCACACTACATTTTTGTAAACATCGGCAGAATGCTGTGCCGTTCAGACTACATGCTTGATTCCGAGGGGGCGGAGCAAAAACGATGTACAGCAGGGGTCACCATTCTCGTTCCTGGAGGTCTAGTGCCCTGCAGGGTTTAGCTCCAACTTGCCTTAACACACCTGCCTGGGTGTTTAAAGTTTACCTAGTAAGACCTTGATTAGCTTGTTCAGGTGTGTTTAATTAGGGTTGGAGCTAAAATCTGCAGGACACCGGACCTCCAGGAACAAGTTTGGTGACCACTGGTCTACATGTTCGATAGTTTGTGAATTTGAAGTTTGGTGATCCCAGATGTAGAGAATCATAATGAGAAACTCTTGCACAACCCACTAGTTTTAAACAAGCATATCAGAAAAAGTGATGAAAGTGGGGAGACACGTGGCTCAGTGGTTAGCACTGTCACCTCACAGTAAGAAGGTGGCTAATTCGAGTCCCAGCTGGGTCAGTTGGCATTACTGTGTAGAGTTTGCATGTTCTCCCCGTGTCAGTGTGGGATTCCTCCGGGTACTCCAATTTCCCCCAAAGTCCAAAGACATGCGCAATAGGTGAACTGAATGAAACTAAATTGGCTGTAGTGTATGTGTGTGTGAGTGTGTATGGATGTTTCCTAGTACTGTGTTGCGGCTGGTTGCTGCCTCTTATTTTAATGGTTAATTTTTGGTTATTGTAAGTGAGTTCTTGCATCCTTCTTTCCTTATTTACAAACTTAGCTAGACCATGAAACCTTCCTGAGTAAATATCCCATATTTTACACCATGAAACATTCTTTCATAATACCTAATCAGTAAAAAATTTAATAAAGTAAGTCAGAACCTACCAATGACGCTCATTCTCTTCCGAACATTGTTGAAGTCTAAGATGGCCAGCAGCTGATAGGTGACCGCCTGTCCCATCTCATATAAAGTGATGGTCTCCGGAGTTCTGGATCGAAATACGAAGCCAAAGTTGCGAGCCGCAGTAACCAGGGCTCCTTCATCTGGAGACTGTGCCTGATACACCAGCTCACCTTCAACAATTTATTCTGATCAGTTTCCAGTGAGAAATGCTAACTCAATATGAAGATGTTTTGGGTGTTCGTGCTCCAGATTACCCTCGTTTCTCTCTTCTGGCATGACGGTGTGGCAGAGTGCTAACAGACGGAAGAATTCCTGCACCAGGGGCTCTTCCAGCTTGATGGCCTCCACCAAGCTGCTGTCATGGAAACGGAACTTCCTGTCCATCAGTGGATTGAAGGAGAAATCCACACATGGTGTTTTCTACGAGAGTCAGAGATAAGAGTGATTGCCAAATATTTCAGCAGTATGGACAAAGTAGCATTTAAATAACGAAACACTTTTTTGCCAATAGGCATTTTACAACTCACCTAGTGTTAAAAAGTAATGTAAAGTGTTAAAAAGTAATCATTCAGTTGATTTCCGGGTCTGGCAGGAGCACTTTTAACTTAGCTTAGCATAAATCCAAGCCAGGTTCATTACTGATATGTACCCCTGCATACATTTCTGGACAGCACGAAATACATCCCAGGAGCTATGTTTTTTTGCAAGTTTTGTTTTCGCGAATTCACCAGAGGACACTTTGTATGCTTTTTATATCTCAAGTTTCTCTCGTGAGTGCCATTCACGCCTGCTGTCCTCACGTACATCCACCAGAAGCCGCTGTCGACTGACTGACTGACCAACTGACTGATTCCCCCATCCACCTCTTCCCTAAACCCAACTGATCAACATAGGCTCATTCTGAAACTGTAGCCCTATGTACAGTTCTGGAGATCACAAATTATGTAGCCAGAAATACATATGGCTGCATTCGGTTTTTAAAACAAATGCAATGGAGCGGTATGGTGCCGTTCCTTCTCATGCTTACCAGCTGACCACTTATCTCCGTATGGACGGCTTTCCCACTGTTATAAGTTTGTCCAGTTAGCTCGCCATGTATATCGGCGGATTTAAGACGCAGAGTAGAGTTGACCACGACGAGTCCGGGGAAGAAAAGTTCCAGAAGGCAGGTAAGACAAAACCAAAAGCCAAAAAAGAAATAATAAACAAGTAAATAACAGGGTGAGAATGTCAAACCTGGTAAAAATCAGGCGAGGGCTTTTCTTTTTCTGGATTGCTTTTTAAAACTGTCGGTTTGGTTTAGGAAAGGTGGTGAGTGTTGATCAATCGTGCTTTTCAGAACACTGTCGGTTGGATTTAGGGAAGGAGGAGGGTGGGTCAGTCGATCAATGAGTCAGTCGACAGTGGCCTCTGGTGGATTTACGTGAGAACAGCAGGCGCAAATGTCACTCGCAAGAGAAATTTGAGATCTCAAAAATCGTACAGAGTGACCTCTGGTGGATTTACAAAAATTGCATAGCTCCTGGCACGTATTTGGTGCTCTCCAGGAAGGTATATAGGGCTACGTTTTCAGAATGAGCCTATGTTGTGTTAAACAGTTATGTTTTACCATTTTTGATTCCATTCTGCTGATCTCCCTGTCTGGCAGAAGCGCTTGGGCTTAAATTGTGCTGGAACACGCCGGATCTGGATCCAGCACCTCTGAAATCTGATCCGGCACCTCATTTTACCAATCTCCCTTCTCATTCCCCCTTCTCCCCCATCCCCTGTTCACTTTCGCGTTCTTCCAGGACTCCTCAACCCTCTTCACTGTAGTCCTCGACAACCCCGTGCTGCTCACTTTTATTTAAGAGAATAGTTTCTAGCCAAATTGGCCTAGAAAGTGAAAACTCTTCGTTTTGCGCCAGTATTAGTACATGATGTAACTAAAGAAGTATCGAGTTTTAAATAGCAAAATGATCAAAACTCTTTTATAAATTTTTTTGAGCGAAATGCTAATGATGTAATCCAATTTAATAATCTATGCTAAGCTATAAGTGTTCCCACTAGACCAGGGCCCGGTTTTTCAAAAGGTTTAATCCGGATCAAATTGATCTGGATTTAGTAATCCTGTTTTTGCGATCCATGATCACGTAATCCAGCTTACTTTTTGAGCCAGTTTTTCAAAGCAACATCGGATTGGATCAATCTGATCCGGATAGGAACTTTTCAGGATCACTAAATCTGGATTATCAGTGCTCAATCACAATGTAGATAAAGATAGGCCTGTGTAAAGAGCAACAAGTAGAATAGCCAGTGTGGGGTAGATATAACTTTATTTTTATTTAAAATGAAAACTAAGAAAATTTAATAAATAATAAAATAATAATAAAAAATAATAAAAACAAGAAAACCCCCACCCCATCCTCTTACAGCAGTCCGCTCATCTGAGACCTACAACACAAATACTGTACATTGAGGATATTTATAATAAGTTTCAAATATAGATGTAAAAAAAAAAAGACTTAATGTCAAAAACTCCACAATAATTTCAGACTTCCTCATCTGATGTGGAGAGAGCAGCTTGTCTGAGCGTAGCCTTTAGGAGGCGGATCTGAAGTCTGGCCTTGGTTTGCTGCAGTTTGGTCAGAGTCAGTTGTTTCTCTGCCAGATGAAGCTGTGCTTCTGCCCTTTCAGTCTCTTTTTGCAATTGTTGAAAGAGATTTCTAAAATCAGTCATTGCCATTCTTTGCACTTTTTTTTTTGGTTATTCTGTAATCATTGCATGCATCACTAATAAATATTCTAAAAACAAAAATATTTTCAATTGTGATGAATATAGATAACAATTATTGACAATAAAATGTATTGTTTTTGGTAAATTTTGACAGCTGTTTGGGGGATTATTTTATGAGGCCAAGCTATTTCTACTTTGCTGTAGGCCTATACTGAAAGGCTGAATACGTTAAAGCCAATAATCACTACAGCCTGATGGATGAACAAATAAAATTAAAACCTTATGAATCAATAGTATATCTCGTAAGATACTGTGTGATCCAAAAATAGTGTTATTTAATAAAATTTTTAAGTTTTTATTACATTTTGGGCATTAAATCCACACTAAATCCACCTTTCTGGTGGGATCAGTTTAATCCAGGTTTTTTGGATCAAAGTGATCCAAATCCTACAAAAAAGGTCTGAAAAATCCAAACTAAAGGTTTGATCCGGATCAAAACCAAGATTAGATTACGTGATCTAATCCGATTATGTAATCCGTTTTTTCTTTTGAAAAACCCATTTTCAAGATTTGATCCAATCCCTTATCCAAAATCCTAGTGGATTACTTTTGAAAAACCGGGCCCAGGAGATCAGCTGAATGGATTCAAAAATGGTTAAAACTCAACTCTTTAACACTAGTGAAGTTGTAAAATGAGCTTTACAAATAAAATAAAAACTATTTAAAAACAGTTGCTTCCATTACCTCTGTAATGTCCACTTTATGCCCAAACTCATCAAAAACATCACCTAGACAACAAAAAAAAGCCATCAATAAATAAGCTCACAAACGTGTATTTACAGCAGGGGTGTCCAAACTCGGTCCTGGATGGTCGTGTCCTGAAAAGTATGGTTCCAATCAGACACACCTGGGCTAGCTAATCAAGTTTTTACAAGGCTTTCTAGAAACATCCTTGTAGGTGTGTTGATTTGTGTTGGAATTAACTCTGCAGGACACCGGAACGAGTTTGGACACCCCTGATATACATTAGATTGAACTCACACAAGGCAATCTGAACTGTGCCCAGGCACGTTTGACCCCCATTTCCCTGTTCGTTCGACAAGTGTGAGTGCTCAGAATCGGGCCCAGTCGGGGTTTAGTTGGCCGGCCCTGGCCCAGTTGGAAGAAATGTGCCAGAGCGTGGTGGACTTTCATGAACATTCAAGACAACCGTGCCAAGTGTGAGTACACCCTAAGTGTGTCAGGAATGGTTGAAGCGTACCGTAGGTCTTCCCATTGATGGAGCACTTATTGAACACCATGATGTTCTGGGTGAGGGTGCCGGTTTTGTCAGAGAAGATGAACTCCACCTGGCCCAGCTCCTCATTGAGAGTGGTGGTCCGCGCCTCAGCAGGAGTGTCCTTGCGGCTGTAGTACATTCGTCTGTCCCAGTTTATAAAGTAACTATGGCCCAGCCGCAAAACTTCTACACTGTAATACAATCAGACACATAAGTATAAGATAAAAATTCATCTAAATCATAATTAGAAAATTACTATATAAAATTATAATTGGATTAGACTTGGAATTCAAATTGTGGCTCATGGGTTGTCTGAAGTGCAACCATACTTTATGTCACAGCACTTACATTCAAGGCTTCGCTTAATATTGGATGTGAAATTGGGTTCTGATACTGTGTGATTTGACCTACCTCACATACAGTGAGATGGGCACAACCGTGTTAAGGATGATAATGTAGGACCAGAAGGTCAGAAAGCCAGAGAAGACGGCATTGACTGTCAGTTCTTTCCACTGAAGATACGCCCAGAAGTCACTGCCGACACTCTGCTCCCAAATAGTGTTCCCGATGGCCAGGATGATCCCCATACAGATCAGAAAGCCAAAGATCTGAAAAAACAACAAATACATCATCACATGAAATGCTTTTGGTCTTCACGAAGTGGCTTATTAGTGGATGTTACTTTTTGATGTAGTTTGTAACATAGCTGTCAAGTTTAGAAGACCAAAAGTCTTGCAATCATTTCTGCAAAACCCTTTACCGACTAACAAAATGAACTGCCCTTTTGAAAGGCTGCCGGCGTGACTAAGTGAGATGCCACACGTCGATCAGTCCCAGCATGCCGTGAACACACTCACCCACAGCACTAAAGTGTTCATCAGTTTATCGATGCTGGTCCTTTTGAACTTTGTCCTCCCACAGTTTTGCATCAGCTTGGTTTGGAGTCCTGACGGAGAAGCAGAAAACATCCCCTCATCTCGGCACAGATAATGGAGTGCATTTAAAGGGTGCCCATTATTTACAAGATGTAAAATAAGTCTCTCGTGTCAATAGAGTGTGTATGTGAAGTTTCATCTCAAAATAACCCTCAAATACTTTTTTAGAACTTTTTGCAGCTGCCCCTTTAAGGCTTTGATCTAAATCGTGCCGTTTTGGTGACTGTCGCTTTAAATTCAAATGAGATTGTGCTCCCAAGCCTCTTTTTAAATGGGGGTGGAGCTAAAAACACCTATGTGAGCATAGTGGCAGATTCAAAACTCTAGTGGTGGATGGCTGCTTCTCACTGAGGGCTGTTTATGCTAATGAGGCAGAGATGGTCACTAAAGGGCGGGGCTTTCCCCCCTCTGGTGACACATATAAAGGGAAAATGTCAATCAAAGTGTTTCTGCAGACTGTTTTTTGAAGTGTGTGATTATAAAAATAGAAATGTTCGTTTTAACCATAAGAGGCTGACTGTATTCACGCACAGTTATCACACAACTGTGCTTAAAGCTTTTAGAAAAGTGATTTTTGCATAATATGTCCCCTTTAAAGAGAACAAGGCATTCAATGCGTCTACTCAAAGTAGTTAATCAATGTCCTGTGAAAATGCTTGAACAGTAAAGGAGGAATATTGTACCGGCAAAGATAACCAAGCCAAAACACCATTCAGTGTTACGGAGCACACATCCTCTCAGGAGCATCTTCTCATTGTCCAGCGGGTACTTGTTATCCTTCCAGTAGAGAGTCCCAATGAACTTGTCCAGTTTGTTGTTGGGAGGCTCGCAGATGACTTCCCCTAAGAGACAACAGGCAGCAAGAGCATGAAACTGACGTTCATTCAAAAGCATAATGTTCAGCCATGTTTTGGTTATTAACATTTTTATTATGCCATTCGTTTGCCAATTGGTTGCATAATTTAAAACTTATAAAACCAGCTAGTAAGCTAGTAAGCTAGCTGGAAGTCCCCAAACACCAATCCCTTCTCCCTCCTCCTCAATTCTAACATGGCTAGCACTGTTGACCCACAGCAAAAAGCTCATTGGTTCAAACGCTAGCTGAGCCAGTCGACACTCTGTGCGGAGTTTGCATGTTCTTCCTGTGTTTGTGTGGGTTTTCCCAGCATACTCCGGTTTCCTTCCACAGTCTAAAGACATGTAGCAAAAGTTAAAGTCACCAGGACCTATTACGTACACACTGGCGCAGTTGGCGGTCTATTCTTGGGAAGTTATCGAGAACTACCTGATCTCGTATCCCTCTTAATGCTTAATAATGACTTAGGCTCAACTATCTCCAAGCTCAGGGTTCTCTCCTGGGACAGCATGCCAAACCTGCTAACATAGTCAAGCATTATGTAACTGTGTGTTTGGCATGCTGTCTTGGGAGAGCCCAGAGCTCATAAGATCCTCGAGCCTGGGGCTCCCTCCTGTTTGCAAGGTGAGAGGGGAGTTTGAGCTTAGGTAGATCTGGAGAACTCCCCTGCTGTAGAAGCTAATGAACAGATAGTGATTGCTCTTTAGAGATAACTACTTACTAGGGGCATGTCTATGTTGCCGATTTGGATTAGTCAATTAACTTAAGGTGCAGACGAGGCAGTGGCGCAGTAGGTAGTGCTGTTGCCTCACAGCAAGAAGGTCGCTGGTTCGAACCTCAGCTCAGTTGGTGTTTCTTTGTGGAGTTAGCATGTTCTTCCTGCCTTCGCGTGGGTTTCCTCCGGGTGCTCCGGTTTCCCCCACAGTCCAAAGACATGCGGTACAGGTGAATTGGGTGGGCTAAATTGTCCGTAGTGTATGAGTGTGTGTGTTTAAATGTGTGTGTGGATGTTTCCCAGAGATGGGTTGCGGCTGGAAGGGCATACGCTGCGTAAAAACTTGCTGGATAAGTTGGCGGTTCATTCCGCTGTGGCGACCCCAGATTAATAAAGGGACTAATCCGACAAGAAAATGAATGAATGAATGAACTTAAGTTGCATGTTTTTGGACGGTGGGAGGAAACCTGGGAACCTGGGGGAAACCCACGTGAGCACAGGGAGAACGTGTAAACTCCACACAGAAACGTCGGTTGGCTTGGTAAGGACTAGAACCAGTGACGTTCTTGCTGTGAGGCAACAGTGCTAACCACTGGGCCACCGTGCCACCCATCTAGGAAAGGAGGAGTAGGGGTGGAAGAGGGGATCCTTCAAAATGAAATAGAACTTAGAGTATTTCTAGTGGCTTAGGAATCGTCTGATTGAAGAATCATAAATTGAATAATGCGGGACAGGCCACAAGCAATCATAAGCACGTGATCCTTCCGAAATTGGTTTATAACTTCACTAAGATTTAGGTCGTGTTGTCAGGTGATCAAAATTCAATGTCTAGCCAGCGTCTAAGGACAACGTTATTTTGACGTTGATATTTGGCTGATTTTAGGGTGTGTTGGAAAGTGACCAAAATTTGTTGAAGTTGAATGAAAACTTTTAAAAGCACAATGGAATAAAATGTTCAGTTTCAGGTTCATTTAGCTATATCAGTTGCTTGTTAAGCCGAATGTCTTAGAGTAACTCTATGTCATAGCAAATATTTTAGAAACCATACAGTTAAACAATTATTACTGTATTTACAAAAACACTATCCTATTGAATATCGTCTGTCAAATGTGCATTTTTAAAAATGTAATATTATCAGTAGGCCTATAACATGTGCATGCAGAAAAGAACCACTGACCTAAGCAATCCCCAAATCTTTGTTTGTTTCCAATTTCACAAATGCACTGACTGTAAATTAACCTGAATGAAATCCAGGCGAAAACACTACAAATCTCATTACAAATACGCCTTGACAGCTTCCAAAGATATACGCGAGCATACTTGAAACCCCCACAAGAGAAAGCACACAGATCAATCTAATCAATGTGACGACTGCAATAAATGTTTACGTTTACTCATGTTGACTCCGGTTCAGTTCTGCTGATGATGCACTAATCGTTCATTAAAAAAAACCAGCTTTACCATTAAAGTCTGCAAGCTTGGCAACATCGTCCCCGAGGTCTGAGGTTACAGTCAAGGCTTGGCGCACCTTCAGGTTGGTTTCTCTGTTGGAAAAAAAAAAAAAAGAGTCGAATGTGAGAAAGAAGCTCATGTTCATGTCATGTCAGCATAAATATCATCAATATGAGATGTTTGTGCTTGATGTTGTACATCAGGCACATGATTTTAAAATCTTTAAAACGTGCATTTATTATTCGATGTTTGACGAAGTCTCAGTTTAAACATGACGAGAGGGCGGGGCATATAGTAGCCCCTCCCCTTTTTACAAAACAACCATTAGGATGTTGTTTTATCACAGATCTAGCAGTGAGAGAGGTTGAGATCAAGCGCATCAAATTAAAAGCACATAAGAAGAAGGGGCAGAGCATTTCCTATACTAGGGAGCATTTGATTGGTCAGAAGATTTGATGAGGAACTGAAGTATGAAGCGACAACAATTTTTTCAATGTATATACTCAAGATTATTTTGGATTGATGTTTCTAACTTCAAGGACGTTTGGAACAAATTGGACTGTATGATGCCACACCAGCTAATAATTATAATCTGCAAAACATAATTTATTTATCAATTTAGCCTACCCAATTCACCTGTACTGCATGTCTTTGGACTGTGGGGGAAACCGGAGCACCCGGAGGAAACCCACGCGAAGGCAGGGAGAACATGCAAACTCCACACAGAAATGCCAACTGAGCCGAGGTTCGAACCAGCAACCCAGCGACCTTCTTGCTGTAAGGTGACAGCACTACCTACTGCGCCACTGCCTTGCCCTCACAAAATATCATATTCATGTAAAAAATTGTGAACATTTCATAAAAGAGATTGAACACTATGGTACTACACTGTGTACATTTGGGAATAAAAAATCTAAAAGAACATATGAAGCATGGAACAAGGTTCTCACAGAAATCTGTCAGGTTTGGTGAAATAAAAATCATGGTTTGGGATTACATTCAGTATGGGGGTGTGCGAGAGACATTTGTATAAAGACATTTATGCTGCCGGTTACATTACAAACCACAGAAGAGGGCAAATTATTCAGCAGGACAAAGTTCTTAAAAGCAAGTTCAAGGTGCTCCAGGATTGGCCAGCCCAGTCACCAGATATGAACATTATTGAGCATGTCTGAGGTAAAATGGAGGAGACGTTAAAGATGAATCCAAAGAGTCTTGATGAACTCTGGGAGTCCTGCAAGAACACTTTCTTTGCCATTCCAGATGACTTAATTAATACGTTATTTAAATAATTGCAGACTCATGACTTTATATTCTATACTGGACATTATTTCTGTTAAGTGACAAGACTTTTGTCTAGACAAAGTCAGACCTTACTGTCCTAATTAAACCATTATAAATCAAGGCATGATCATATGTTATTTTGGTAGAAAAAGCGTAATCTAGAGGCCTTTACCTTTCATATAAGCCACTTCTGATACCAAATGATCAACCAGAAGTCAAGTTATTATTTGTTGTTCCTAAAACTTGGATAGTTGACAAGACATTTGTCAGTTAGTGTATACGTTTGTACTAAGTTTGTACATTTCACAATAAAAAAGTGATTTCAAAAAAAAAAATTGTTGATTCATTTAGGCGGAAGCGACAAACTGCAAACTTGGTCATATCAGGTTCATTTTTATTTATCCTTGAGACTAACATGCTGATAGTAACATCTAAGAAGCGTCATTTTAGTTTCACTGGACCTTGTAAAGAATTTGCAGAAAAACAGCTCACCCATCAAGCTCTGCAGTCTCGATATAGCACAGTCCATAGGGCTCACTGCTAGAGAGGAGGAGAAGGTCAGCCTGTCAGAAGAAAAGACAGCGGAGACAATCAAAGACACGCATAAAATCATAAATCATGTGCTGGTTGACTGGACTCAGGATTCTGCACACTGTGGGGATTTCTTCTACTAAATCTATAGATAATGGCAGCCATATTGGGATTATAACAATCCCAATGCTTGTCAGATGAACTATATGATAAGAAGCTATGAAATTTGGTGGAATGACAGATGAATGACTAAAACTTTCAGATGCCAATTTTGAGATTTCCCTTTTAAACCCTCTGGCGCCACCAACAGTTCAAATTGTATGAAACGTTTCCAGAAATTTCTTTAAAAATATATACATATTAGGGGTTTTTACCTTTTTATTGGATAGGATAGAGAGGTCAGACAGGAATGTAAGTAACCACACTGCAAAAATGCTCTTTTTACTTAGAGTTTTGTCTTGTTTTTAGTGCAAATATCTAAAAAAAATATTTAATCAAGAAGCATTTTTTAGACAAGCAAAAAATATTGTCTTGTTTTAAGAAATAATAAATGCCCTAATTAAGTAAATTTTTCCTTAAAACAAGCTAAATAATTTATTTCTTTTTTTAGACATAAGATTATTTTGCTTACCCCATTGGCAGATTATTTTGCCCCACTTAATTTTGACATTTTATTTCTTTAAAAAAAGACAATATTTTTCTGTATTTGGCTTCACTGTCCTTGGGTTGCTCGTCAATGTATTAAATAACACTAATACATACAATAAGTAAGTGGGGAGAAAACTTTATGGAAGACAGAATAATGCAGTTCCTCAGCATTGATGTTAACCCATCAGTCTTCGGTAACTTAACTCAAAGTACTGTCTGTAAGACACTACTTTATAACAAAGGATTTGACGCCCTGGAGATTACCCAACTGGTTTGGTTGGGTCACAACTCTTGAGTTCCTGTAAGACGTTCAGTTCAAATCTTTTCAGATGCAGATACTTGTTTGCATATGAAACAAGCCCTACAATCTTATCACTTGTATACAAAATGCTTCTTGACTTTAGATGTTTTAGATATAGAAACAATACAAAAAATTCTAAGTAAGAAAAGCAGTGAACTAGGCTATTGGTTTGCATTAATTTCTTGAAACTTTTCAAACAATTGGACAAAAATAAACTTTCTAGTAAGTGAAAACCACTGAGATCCTAAAAATTGCTTAAATTACCCAAATTTTGGTGGGGAAATGTTAAATTTATTTTGCCATTAGATTTATTATTTACAATTATTTTGTTATTTTTAATCTTCGGACACTTATAACTTCAGTAAGTCATTTTACACACTTCCAACTATATATATATATATATATATATATATATATATATATATATATATATATATATATATATATATATATATATATATATACACATAGTTAAATTTAGGGAAAAAATACATTGTTTTTTCAGATGACCTGAGAAAATTTACCAGCCACATTTTTTACTTGCTATAAAAGTATTTTTTGCAAGAGGTCAGTAATACAGTAACTAACCAAATTTACAACATTTTTAAATTTGTTCTATGCTTCTGAAGCATGCAGAATGTATCTCACTTTCATTTTAGACACAATAGTGTTTACGAGAATAAAAATATTAGCAGTAATACACTGCAAAAGTGAACTGAATTCAGCCCTCAAGCCTTTTTCTAAACTGAATAAAAACAGACTATGCGTTATTCATTGTAATTCATAAAAGATTTGTCTGCTATAAATACCTGCCAGAGCGTATTTATAATCACATTTAGTGTTTGTCAAGTGTTAATTTTAGCCTGTGATTATTTTTTAATTGTCTATTATTTATATTATTCATTCATAATTTACCTTCGGCTTAGTCGCTTTTTAATCAGGGGCCACCAACTAATCCAGAATATGTTTTACGCAGCCGATGCCCTTCTACATGCAACCCATTACTGGGAAACACCCATACACTCTAGCATTCACACACACACTCATACACTACGGCCAATTTAGTTCATCCAATTCCCCTATAGAGCATGTCTTTGGACTGTGGGGGTAAACCGGTGCACCTGGGGGAAACCCACGCAAGAACACAGGGAGAACATGCAAACCCCACACAGAAATCCCAACTGACCTAGCCGGGACTCAAACCGTCTTGATGTTAGGCGACAGTGCTAACCATAATCATATATATTATATTATATTATATTATATTATATTATATTATATTATATTATATTATATTATATTATATTATATTATGTTATGTTATATTATATTATATTATATTATATTATATTATATTATATTATATTATATTATATTATATTTTATTATATTATGTTATATTTTATTATATTATGTTATATTATATTATATTATATTATATTATATTATATTATATTATATTATATTATATTATATTATATTATATTATATTATATTATATTATAGACAGAATATCAATTTTAGTATAAACACAAATTTCCCATATGGAGAAATGTAATATATGTAATTATATTCTCCAATATATATTTATATTTATATATGTTATATTTGATCTGTTTGTTTGTAGTACATCAACAAGAATTAGATACTTACAGCAACAAACTGATTGTTCTCGAGTTTGATAACATCACCCACTCTTACGTTCATCCATTTCTCATTCTGCAGTCTGAAACAGAGACAAACCATTGTTCATTTCCCCAAACATCTCTTAAAAAGCCTTTACAGTTCAATAATTGCATCTCAGCTGCGATGAATATACAGCGGAAAATGCTGATAGACAGAATGAACGCACTTACTTTCCTTTGATGAGTACCTGAGACTGCCGGGTGTTGACTTGCTGGTCACTTTTATGGCGGAACTAAAATCCAAAAAACAGCACACGTCAGATCATTTCAAGCAGACGGCTATTGTAAATGCAGAATTCAGAGTCGTGAAGAAGAACATGAGAAGAATAGATTCTCACATAATCATCAGTAGCATCCTTGACCGCTGTGATGGCCAGCACCAACACCAAAGGCACAATAGTGGTGAACCACGAAAGAGAGGAGATTTCTGGAATTAACTGGAACACATGATAGAGAACACACAAGTGCATTAGTGACCGCATGTCTGTTCAGAAACGCTGCTTCTGGAAATGTGTCTTCCATAGGGATTCAGAATTCAATTCAATTCAATTGTTTATTGTCATGTGCAATGTAAGGAAACACGTTTCCCTGTACAATGAGATTCTTACTTTGCCGTCCACAGTGAAGTCATACACACAACATATCATACACGACATACACATAAATACACATATATACACAGAAGTGACTGAAGTATAATTATAAAATGTAATAATTATAAAATATCTATGAAAGTAAACAATATATAAAACTGATTTTGGAGTAGTGAAACAGATGTAAACAATGTATAGTGGTTCTTAAATTAGGTCTTTGTTAAATCATTATAAGCAATGAACCAAACCAACAAGCTACGATGAGATTCACAACATTAACGACTTTGATTTGAAGTAGGGCTGTGCGATACAACAAAAATATCATATTGCGATAATAATATATAGTGATATAGTTTGAAGCTTCGAACCTTGATTTAAAGTCAGGTTGGGTGATATGACAGAAATTTCATGTTACGATAACATAATGATATATATCGTTATATAGTTCGAAGCATCAAACTTTGATTTGTAGTTGGACTGTGCAATACAACAAAAATCTTATATTACGATAACTATATATATATATATATATATATATATATATATATATATATATATATATATATATATATATTGTGATATAGTTTGAAGCTTTGAAAATTGATTGAAAATCAGGCTGGACAATACGACAAAAATCTCATTACGATATATATTGTGATATAGTTTGAAGGCTTCAAACTTTGATTTGAAGTAGGGCTGGAAGATACGACAGAAATCTCATATTACGATAATGACATTTATGGTGACAGTTTGCGGCTTTGAACTTTAATTTGTAGTCGGGCTGGGCGATACAACAAAAATCTCGTTAGGATGACGATATATATCATGACATAGTTTGAGGCTTTAAACTTTGATTTGAGGTAGGGATGGACGATCCAACAAAAATCTCATATCACAATACCGATATATATCGTAATATAGTTTAAGCTTCAAACTTTTATTTAAAGTCGGGCTGGGCGATATGACAAAAATCCCATTTTATGATAACAATATATATTGTGATATAGTTCGAAAGCTTCAAACTTTGATTTGAAGTAGGGCTGGAAGATACGACAGAAATCAAACATTACGATAATTCTATATATAGTGACAGTTTGTAGCTTTAAACTTTGATTTGTAGTCAGGCTGGGCGATACAACAACAATATCGTTACGATGACGATAAATATTATGACATAGTTTGAGGCTCCAAACTTTGATTCGAGGTAGGGATGGACGATCCAAAAAAAATCTCATATCACAATAACGATATATGTCGTGATATAGTTTACGGCTTTGAACTTTGTTTTGTAGTCGGGCTGGGCAATGCAACAAAAATCTCATATTATGATAATGATATATATCGTGACACAGTTTGCGGCTTTGAACTTTGATTTGAAGTCTGGCCGGACGATACAACAAAAATCTCACATTGTGATAATGATATATATCGTGACATAGTTTGCGGCTATGATCTTTGATTTGAAGTCTGGCTGGACGAAACTACAAAAATCTCATATCACGATAATGATATATATATTGTGATTTAGTTTGAGGCTTTAAACTTTGATTTGAAGTAGAGATGGACGATCCGACAAAAATGTCATATTGTGATGACGATACATACCGTGATATAGTTTGAAGCTACGAACTTTGATTTGAACTTGGGTTGGACGAAAATGATATATATCGTGACATAGTTTGAAGCTTCGAACATTGATTTGAAGTCGGGCTGGGCAACACGACAAAAATCTCATATTACGAAAACTATATATTGTGATATAATTTGAGGCTTTGAACTTTGATTTAAAGTCGGGCTGGACAAAACTACAAAAATGTCATATAACGATAATGATATATATTGCAATAAGTTTGAGGCTTTAAAATTTAATTTGAAGTCGTGCTGGACGATATGAAAAAAATCTCATATCATGATAACGATAAATATATCGTAATATAGTTGAAAGCTTTATACTTTGATTTGAAGTAGAGCTGAGCAATACGACAAAAATCTCATATTACGATGACGATATGTATTGTAATATAGTTTGAAGCGTCGAACTTTGATTTGAAGTCGGGCTGAGCGATACAACAAAAATCTCATATCACGATAATGATATATATCATGATATAGTTTGAGGCTTCAAACTATCTTGTGAAATAGGGCTGTATTACAAAATGTAATCACTGCTTCAACCGTGTTCATGAAATCCTTAATTTAATACGCTTAATTAAATATAATTTGTCCATGAGAATATTGACTTCCACTTTATGGACATTTTTCTAAATATTTACTTTTGGGCTTCACAGAAAAAGATGTCAAACAGCAGTTTCCGCTTTTCCCAGATCTTGATTTTTTTTGTCACCTTTAATAAAGGCGTCTGAAAATCTGGTCATATGTATTTTCTAAAACAGTCCCCATATTAATCTTCAGTGAGCTGCTTTTGTAATTTCATTAGTGACCTGGAAAGGCTGGCAAACCTGCAGTATCAGCAGCACGAGGAAGTAGGCATTCGCAAAACGTTGAAACTGCTCGAATAAGTTAATGGGCAGGAAAGTGAAGACGTTGTATTTTGCAGTCTTGATGCGATTGTCCTGCAAGAAAAATACAGAAAATAAAATCATTAGGTCCATCTCAATCTGCATACTTTTGCACTATTCCACCCCATATTATAGAATAAATAGTATAAGTAGTGCATTCACATAGACTATTCTACAAATTATAAAAATAGTAAGTGCACTTGAAATGCTCAGATGATGCACTTATTCAGCCAATAAACAGAAGTGTGGAATGTTGGACATGCACTCAATGGGTTGTGACCAAAAGAGATACAGCTGCGGCCGAAAGTTAACCATTCATTCATTTGTTGTCCTTTGGCTTAGCCTCTCCAGCTGCAACACATATGCAGGGAAACACATATACACACTCATTCACATATGGCCAATTTGGTTTATTCAATTCATATATATCGCATGTCTTTGGACTGTGGGGAGAACGCTGACACAAGGAGAACAGGCAAACTCCACACAGAAATGCCAACTGGCCCAGCCTGGACTTGAATCAGCCACACTCTTGCTGTGAGGCGACAGTGCTAACCACTGAGTAATCCACCCAAGTTAATGATAGCTATTTATATGATTTATTTTTAGATTATATATAAATTATTAATTAATTGTATTTTATTAATGTCTACCCCTATACCAACCCTCAGAGTAATGTAAAAACAGTAATTATATAGAATATTATTCATATTATTTAATAAATTATCCATTAAATTGTATTTTATAAACACCTACCCCTTACATCAACCCTAACAGTAATGTAAAAAATTAATTATTGTTGTACAGTCTCACAAAACTATGCTATATTGATGTGAGTATGTGCAGCTGTATCCCTTCTAGACTTTACCCACTCAATGCTTGCAGTTTTCCTCATGTTAAGAAAGGGGAGGGGCTATTAGTGAAGGGGCGGGGTTACAGCGTGCTGAGGATGGATTGATTGATTTATTTTGGATTGTGCCAGCAATATTCTGACACATACAGTAAGTCAGTGGTTCTCAAACTGTGGTACGTGTACCACTAGTGGTACGCAGGCTTCCTTCTAGTGGTGCGCGGAATCGCTAGATAATTAAAGTTTAAAAAACAATTAACACAGTTTTTAACCCTTTAAAATGTATGCTAACATTAATGTGATCAGTAAATTGATTTTAATAGGATAAACCTTTTATTTTATTTTTAATTTTCTAATGTCTGTTATGTATTTTATTATTTGAAGTTAATCTCCTCCCCATATTTGTAACGGTTGTTAGGGGCGTATCCCGTATTTTTATATCCCAATGTTGACAGATGTGGTTTAATGACTTGCTTTTCTGACACACGAAGCCTATAACACACTGTAAGCAGATCAAATTTCTAAACTAAATACATAAATCAAAATCATATATTTAAAGTTTAGATGTTAAATACAAATAAGTCCTAAATCTACATCTATTTCAAACTTTTTCAAAAATATTTTATATATGAATATAATCACAAATAACCTATATTTATGAGGTCCAAGGAACATTTCCAGGTTTTTATGAATAAGCTACTATATGTTAATACTGTACATTTAAGTACAGCAGTTTTCTTTTTATTTTTAAGAACATTTCTAATTTACTTTTAGAAGCACATTTTAATTTAAACATTATTTATTTTTTCACCTGTAATTACAGAGCTGTGTTAATGTTCAAGCTATTTATTATGTTTAAAGTTGCTGACAATAATAAATATTCATAATAATAGAAATTAATCTGCCTCATTTTTGAACAGTGCAGACCTTTAGCTGCCTAATTAGGCCTTCTACACTACTGTATTTCAATACTGGTCATTATGGTGGTACTTGGAGAGACTGTTTTTTCTAAGGTGGTACTTGGTGAAAAAAGTTTGAGAACCACTGCAGAAAGTGATTATGCCGCCACCTTATGTTGAATATGGTTGTTCTTATGATAAGTGCTATTTGGTAGTTTGGTAATTAATTTTATTAAACTGGCGACCGTTAAATGTCTTCAGAAAAACGATTTGCGTTTCTGTTTATAAAAAAATCGACACTACACAGTTGAGTTATAAGTAATAAGTGTATAGTGTGTAAGTGTATATGGTGTCATTTGGGACACAACAATTATAATTTGACCAAAAAATGGATGTTTCTCTTGCACAATTTTGTACAACTTAAATTGGTCAAATTGCTTAGTAGGTACACTGATTTGTGCTCATTTTTGTCAATAATATTGATCATAAAATGAATTATAATACCACATAGAATTATAAGACTACATGGGAAACCTAGGCTGCTGTTGGAAGTGGTGTTAGTGAGGCCAGCAGGGGGCACTCAAGTTGTGGTCTGTGTGAGTCCTAATGCCCCAGTAAAAGCGAAGGGGACACTATACTGTCAGTGAGCGCCGTCTTTTAGATGAGACGTTAAATCGAGGTCCTGACTCTCTGTGGTCATTAAAAATCTCATGGCATCTCTCGTAAAGAGTAGAGGTGTAACCTCGGTGTCCTGGCTAAATTCTCTCCATCTCCCCTTACTAATCATGGCCTCCCAATCATCTACATCCACTGAATTGGCTGTATCACTGTCTCTCCACTCCACCAAAAGCCGGTGTATGGTGAGCGCACTGGCGCCGATGTCCTGTGACTGCTGTCGCATCATCCAAGTGGATGCTGCACTGATGGTGGTGTGGAGAGACCCCACTCATGATTGTGAAGCACTTTGAGGGTATTGCCATACACGATAGATGAGCTATATAAATCCACACATTACATTACATAATTAAATACATTTAGAGACTCACAGCATAACTGAATCTCTCGTTGTAGTCCCGATCGTTGGCTCGAACATGACGTTCTTCCTCTAGAGCAGAACAGAAATATTTTAGACAAGTTTAGATTACTAAGCCACTGCAAAAAAATAAATAAATAAATAAAAATCTCAGGCATTAATGTAAGCGTACATTCACACTAAAATCGGCGAGAGCGTCAAAGTAGCTTGAAGTCATTCATTTTCAATGAGGGGCGGCGGCGATAAGTGGCGAGGAGCAGCGCGTCTTCGCCTGTGTGGCCATCGAGGAGAGTTGAAATCAAGTTAACTTTATGGTAATGAGCTATGACGCACTTCCACGGCAAGCAATCAGAATGAAAAAGTCCACCGCTTGAGAGGAGTTCAGAGAACACAGACCTGTGAACTTTGGTTCCGACCACAGTTGTTCCCGAAGGTTTGATTATTGCGGTCGCCGGATTACAATTGTTTACAATGTTTTCTTACAGGAACATGCATTAAATAAGTTACTGATGTGCATTAATGTTATATATTTATTTATCTTTAAAAAAAGCAGGAAACTCATGCGACAATACAAAACAGTATTGCTGCTTCAGGATATTTCAGACATATGGACACATTGGATAATTAAGTGGAACAAAGCCACACGACTCTCAACTTGATCTTCCATTGTTAAATGAATTTGATAAGAACTGCGCAACATTTTCACTCTAGAAAGCATGTTTTATGCAGGAATGTAACTGCATGATATGCTGCAACGGCCCCTTTAAATACGAGATCAATGTAGCGAATTTTGACGCTCTCGCCACTGGAGCTGAAGGCAGACAGCGTTGTCGCCAGGGCGGCCTGAGCGACCTTGGACGCTCTCACCACTTTCAGTGTGAACGCACAGTAACTATACTTATGTACAGTTATACAGTTAACAGATATACTCAAGTATATATTATTATGTATATTTTTATTAATAATTAGTTTTCGTAACATAAAAAAATTTGTAAATTCTTTTTTTAAAGGATTTTCAAATAGTACAGACAACAAAGACAATCAGACAAACAAACAAACAAACCATCCCCAAGCGCTTCAAATTAAATAAAAATGTACAAAGGTAAGTTTAAATTTTTTTTAATAATAATAATGAATGTTAAAAAAAATTAAATAATCAAAACAAAACAGAAGAAGCCAGAACTCTCCTAAAATAAAAATTTCAGAGTTTATGTAGAAAGGATTGGAGAGGTTCCCAAAGTCTCCTGAATTTGTCCTGTTTGTGGTTGAGGTCATAAGTAAATTTTTCCAAAGGAAGAAAGACTGCCAACTGAGAAATCCACATGAAAATAGTTGAAATTTAAGAAGTAGACCATTTTAATAATATACATTTCTTAGCCAGATATGTAAGAGTTGTAAAAAGAGGTTTAAGCTCAAAAAGGTCTTCAGGAATGTCATTCAACAAAAAAAAAAAGTGAGGGGGAGAAAATAAAACGTTTTCCAATTATCTCCTGGATAGCAGAATAACCCCTCTCCAAAAGGGTTGGATGTGAAAACACATGAAAAAATGTGCCCTTACAATTTTAGCACTTAAAACAGAGATCGGGTAAGACGACTTTTTAAACATTTAAAAGAAAAAAATGTAACAAAAATGTAAATAGAAAAATGAGAATATATTAAAAAGCAAATGAAAACTAGTGGTAAAAACTGCAACAGTATCGTGAAGATGTATATCAATGCCAACTAAACACTAATGTTAGGAGAAAGTTCTGTTCGCTGGGAGTAATTTCCTAAACAAAATATGGCTATACAAAACAAAACAAGCTATCCTAAATTTAAGTGATGTACAAATTATTACAAATATTAGTTACCAATTTTTTTTTTTTACAAAAGACAATCTCCTCAAAAGTTAAATTCACAGTAATGCACTTTAAAAAACATAAGCAGTTTAAGAATTACAAAATATTCTTTGCTTTTTTTCATATGTAAAGAAATATATTGCGAAAATAGTAGTGAAGGAGAATTTTATTCTCAAGAATATTTTCCCACAGTAAATAATGGACATGAATTCATCCATTACGAGACTTTAAATGATCTTTCTCATTTTCAGGAGCTGAGTGCAGAGCCATAAATGAGCTAAAAGCCACAAACAGTGGCTTCTGGAAAGTGATGTCTGTGAAATCATCAGTGAACATCACTCCGCAAATGAAGGATGTAAAAATAGAAAGGCTGTAAGGTGAGAACATTCATCGATTGAAACCAAACGTCTTCTGAAAGAACAACTTTCCACAGACTGATATGGACTAAAAATTACATTACAATATGTTCTGGTATTTATAGCAATAACAGTATTACTGATAATAATTCATATGTGTCCAATGAAAGGTCTGTATTTTTGGAGAAAAGCATTTATTTTCATTTTTATTCAAACCCGCTCCTGGTTGCCCGCTCTCCTGCAAAGCTCAACCATGTTTAAACACACTGATGTAGCTAATCAAGCTAATCAGCATCATATAGAGGGAGATAAGAAATAGAAAGAATAGAGCAAGAAATAAAAGAAACAGAAAATAAAATTTAGAAATAAAATGTGCAATTTCTGTTTCATTCATACAGGACACTAGAGGGCACCCTTACGCAAAATCTCCACATACATCTTTCTGAGGAAAAGACTTTAGCTATCACTGAAAGAGTATAAAGATAATAAAAACGGATAAATGGGTGAAACATGAAGATAATAAACAAATGCTTGTAGCAATATGTATTATTTGTGTTCTTCAAGTCATCCTGGGTGTATCAAGTAGATTTATAATCCCATCCTAACTGACCTAGCCTTTATCCCTGTATTGAATACTATAAAATATATTCATCCTTCTTCATGTTGTGATATTAAATCACCTCTGGTCACAAAAATGAGATGTTATAAACACTCGACTGATGGTATGAAGTGAGTTTAGAGTGAAAGTAAGTCAGTAAGTCAAACACATAATCTATTAAAGACGTAGCCTACTATTGTAATTAATAACTCATTGCATACCTTGAGCATACATGGAAATGTCATTTATTTTTAATTCATACTGGACACTAGAGGTCACCCTTGCGCAAAATCTCCACATACGTGTTTCTAAAGGAAAAATGTTAGCCGCAGTCATCTATCACGGCAGGACAGCAAAGAAAACAAAGATGCTTGAAACTAATAAATGGATCAAACACGAGGACAATACACAAACGTTTGTGGCAATACATGGATTATTTGTGTTCTTTAAACCATTCTAGGCATTTCATAAGCATATTTATAACGAGACGCTAATTGATTTAGCCTTTATCACTGTACTGAAAACTATTAAATATAGGCGTTCTTCTTCATGCTGTGATATTAAATCACACCTGGTCACAAAAATTAGGTATTTCAACCACTCGACTTTTGAAATAAAGTGAAAGCATGTCAGTAAACCTCTTTTTAAACAGGCTCAAACATGTAAACTATTAAACACGTAGTCGAGTACTGTTATAATAATAAATCATTGCATAACTCGATCATACATTAAAGTGTTATTTCTTTTTCATTCATACTAAACACAAGAGGGCACACTCGTGCACAAACCTCGAGATACATGTTTCTGAAGAAAAGATGTCAGCTACGGCAAAGAGCATAGAATCACCAAGGCTGCGTCTGAAACCGCCTACTACTCAGTAGGTACTGCATTTAAATTTAAACGTGCTACTCGGTCGTTAGAAAAGTACGTTATTTACAGTATGAATGTGAAAAGTATGAATGGAATTCGGACGTACTACATCCGCCATTTTGTCATGGTCACGTGACTTACCTGTGTCAGTTCCGTCGCCTCACTTCCATTTATGAATTCTCTCACAGGGCATTATGGGATGGCGCAGCGTGCATGGGATGCACACTTCAGAATCTGGTCGGAAGTAGTAAGTCATCCGGGTACTTCTCGCCTACTGATTTTCGAATTCTATGAATTCGGACATACTACTCGGCTCGTATACTGATTTTAGCGTACTATATAGTATGGAAGTATGCGGTTTCGGACGCAGCCCAAGAGGCGACACTTTAGTGCGTTTTGGGACACACAGCTACTAGATGCCGCGGCGGCCATTTTTGAATGAAAACTCCAATAGAACAACAGCGTATCATAAGTCTGTAAAATAAACTATTAAAAGTGCTGGTGATGGTGAGAGTAAGTGTTTATTGTCGTCTTTCAGGTTGTATCTCAGCTGTAATGCGCTTTTTAAATAAATAAATAAAAAACAAAGCAGCTGCTTGCCATCACGACAGCAATAAGATCCAATAGAGAGCCGATCGCTTTCACTCCAAAATGGCGGAATCGCGGGGCTGTTGCTGGGCGCTGCTGTTGCAATGGAACTTTCTATCAGTGTTGCCAACTTAGCGGCTTTGTTGCTACTTTTAGCGAATTTTCAGACCCCCTAGCAACAAATTTTCAAAAAAGCGACTAGCGACAAATCTAGCAACTTTTTTGTGTGTTACTGAAGATTTTTATAGACGGTCATTTGTCCATAAGGTACCGTCCCTACTCTTCTCAACAAGCTGCGGGTGATGCTGTCGGCCATTCCCCGGCCTTAGAGCACTGAAAAGCAGCCGAGTCCTCATACAGCAGCCTCTCCCACCAGCAGCCTGACAGCAGATCACCCTTCTGCATATCGATGGCAAATGATTTAGCACCTGCAGCAGTGTGAGGTATTTCCCTTGTACAGTTAAACTGATCTGCTTCTCCTTCATTTTAACAATTTGATTTGACCGTATATTCTTTTCTTGTTCACAATCACAGATGTTTTAGTGACAGTTTCAGAACTGGTCTGAGTTTATTACGTCTGAGAGATTACTGCAAATTCCCAACACATCTATACTGATATACTGTGTTCAAACAGCAATAACTTTAGTTAAATTGACATGCTTACATAAAGCGTAGTGCAAATATAATAACCCCTTTATTGACCATAGGCTGTTAAACAAACAGAAATGGTAGAACGTGATGACGTTAGTAATATGCAATTAACGTATGACGTAATCTAGTGGCTTTTAGTGACTTTTTGGACAGATCTTGGCGCCTTTTCGT